ATGTTAGCGGCGTCACGGGGATACTACAGAAGGAACTCCTCCAGAGATCAAGGCAGTACAAGAATGTCCTGGTGGGCATAAATGAGTTCCGAACGTCGAAGGTATTCTTATGAAATCAGACTGATAAAGTCAATGTTATTTAATGACGGTTTTGTTTCATCAGCTATTTGGGTTTGCAATAACTGTAAACAGAAGGGACTAGAACAAAAGAAGCTCTCGAATGTTAAAAAGTCCCACAGTATATTAGATTGCAAAATCTGCAATATACTGTGGAACAGAGATACAAATGCAAGTAAAAACATGCTCAATATCTCTTGGGCCATTTGGAGAGGTGAAGGAAGACCCTCGGTTTTCATTAGAGAAATCGCCGTCGAGAACACGGTTCCCTCCAACAGGGTTTAGATATATACAAGTGTTTTATTCAAACTCAGTATAAAATATTAAAAAGGATACGAAATCTAGGTATACCTTCATTGTAAGCGACAACTAAAAACAAACGAGGCACATGACACAACACGACTTTATTTTAGGATCAACCAACAGTGATATCCCAGCCAACTTTAATTGGGAAGCTATGGTAATTTTAATTGGAAAGTTGTGCCAAAAATAATGTTTAAATATGATATTTTATTGATGGTCCAAATGAGCGCAAAAATAAAATAATAAAATAAACGTCCGCCCGGACCCGTTCAATCCGTTTGGAAGTGGATGGTAGCGAAAAAACCCTAATGGGTACAAGGGTAAAAAATGTAAATGAAAAATTAATGAGTAGGGTTATTGATGAAAGGTTAAATGAATTGCTTTAACCACACAAGAAACTTTTGACCATGAAGATGCTTAGTAGGGATCAATCTGTTATGGTGTAACTGATCTAATTCATGTAGTAGGGAGCATATAGTCGGCCATCGCTGAGACCAGGTGAGGGCTAGGTTTGGGGGAACCGAAGGGCGTAAAGGAAGCATATTTAGAAGGAATGACAATGGATCCCGTATTGTTTCAGGCGTGAACAGACGTCGATGCATATCAAGGCAATTAATAGCGTGATTTTTAGATAGCTGTTGCGTTGGGTGCTTAGGACATGGTCGAGGTTTGCCACCAGGCAGTCAGTCTAATCTCCAGCGTATGCCAATTTCCATAAGCCTGACTGTACCAAGTATAATAAGAAGCAAGAAAAAAAGAACCAAGTTGCCAAAAATAAGTATGTAATCAATTTTAGCTTTGATAATTAAGCCTTATCTAATTATTGTTTTAAAGAAGCCAAAAGTGGGAGCCCACAAAGTTCCAAATAGAAAGAGAGAAAGCGCCTCTCGTAGTTTTTGGTGTGAGGACGTTTGGAAAAGACTTGACAAAGCTGAAGGGAAACAGGTGCGGTGTTACTGCGTCTTTTGGCGAGCGTTAAAAAGAAGAAAAGCAGCTGGAGATCTCATCGCCGTTACAATTGATGAATACAAAACTTCAAAAGTTTACAATGCTTGTAGTGACGATCCTCTTGCAAGAATGTCTGAATTGAAAGACTGTAGTGTCCTGGTTTGTAACACCTGCAAGACATTATGGCAACGAGATTTCAACGTTTGTAAGAACATGCTGTCCCTCTCTCTTTCGATTTGAGATAGAAGAGGTCGACCTTCCAAGTATAGAAAGAATTAAATGTTTTTTAAAATCGCCATAATGAACACGGTTTCCCTTCTGGGTAAAGGTTGCTACAGGTAAAGATGTCTGATAATTTTACTAAATTTTTGTATAGTACGAATACTAGTTCGGTGTGGCTGTAGAAATTTATTATTTACAAAAGTGTGTATTAAGCAGTAAAGTAAGATCTTATTCTTCGTCAGAATCTAGAAATAGAGGTCTTTTCTTTACTCTTCGTATTTCTATAGCATAACTGTCACTTTAATGCCCAATCAGTTTCTTCTTATTCTTACCTTGGCTCCATTCTTTGGGACATGAGATACCTATCTGTCCTGCTAACTTTGCTGCATCTGACAGTAGTCGTTTATTTAATTTGACAGATTCTATATTATAATAAGCTTCATATTCTTCTTTATACATCGTATATACAAACCTGGCATTAGTTTTTGATTCCACCATAATATAAGCGTATGTATCAAACTTTCAGCAGCTGTGTTCTTGGTATCTCCTTCGTTTTCTATCTGGTCAACCATTCCATTAATAGTCTCAAGTAAGGTTTCTGTAAAGGTATCATTTAAGACTGTAGACCAATGTTGCAAAGAAGCTATTATAAATTGGGTTTGTATTGCATGCTTTCTATCGCCCGGTGATGCTATTGAGATGATATTGTAAAGTAAGTCCTCTGTTGGGTTTACTGAAGTGACGATAGTAGATATGTATGGCACTATCTCATTCTTGACTTTATGTTTCGATAAATAACAGAGCAACTGGATATGGATTATTTACAACTTACATTGTGTTTTTAGAAGATCAACTACTTTTGCTTGAGCAAAGAAATTCCTCACTAATTTTGTTTTCCCTTGAAGTTCTGCTGCTAATAACTGCCAGAAGCACATTGTCTCATAACACGAAACTGCTAGAGAAGTCTCTACAAATATTGGATCAATATGTTCGCCAAACATTTGTAAAGTCCCACAGTGTAGATCACACACCATTTGTCCCATCTATTTCAAGTTAGTTCCTTGACTCAATCTATTGAATATCATACTTACTCGACTTGGCAAAAGCATCATCAATGTCAGTTTTAGTACTTCTAAATTACCAATTAGAACATTTGGTAAATATCGGTATAACAGTGGTATAAGGTTATTAAAGTCTATCACATTTTGTGCAGCGAGTGACTATAGCAAACAAGAAGGTTAGCAAAAAGTAGACTCTAGAGTATAACTCCCTTACTTGTAAATCACTAGTCAAGCACTTTCCAAGAAAACTGACTACATCTTCGGTTGATTTTTCTATTGTATATACATGCATCACATACGTTTCATAATGAGACACAATATCTGGAAACCATTCATCAGGTCTATTCTCGTCTTCATCACGCTCAATCTGTTTAGATATAAATGACCACCATCGCATGCCTATAAGGTGCTTTTTCTTTTTGCTTTTTGCCCCTTGTGCAATACAGCTCAGTAATTTGACCATCTTTTCACTTTCAGCTTCTTTATCCTTCAAGTTCCAAAACATAGTCATAAGGAAATCAAATACGTCTTTGGATATATCTGACAAGATAACATCTTCTGATACTGTGTATTTTGTATCTTCTGATTCTTTTACAAACGTAGGAGGATATCGGTTAAGAAATACCATATTGCGAATAAATGGACTAATAGTCGGTACAAGTACTTCTGTAGGAATTGCCTTTATAACAGGAGTTAGTTTGTTTTTTTTTTTTTTCTATTATAGCTATCTTTTTACCATCTTAAGAAATACGGCAACGATATCTTTTATGCTGCGTTTGGCAATGACCAGCTGTAAAGTGTATTCTTCTTCGTCATCACTCTTTTGAGCGTTTATTAAGTTAGAGCAAGCATCCTTGAATCGTTTTAGTGAGTCTCCGAAGATCCAATAAGATTGATCTGATTGTAGTCCTTCGTCTACATTCACTACCTCTTCTTCTTCTTCTTCTTTTTCCTCCTCCTCCTCCTCCTCTTCTTCTTCTTCTTCTTTTTCTTCTTCAGCTTCTTGCATGCTCTCCATCTGGCTTTCAAGGTTTTCTTCTCGTGTTGATTTCGTATCAAGCTCATTATTTTCCGTTTTTGTAGTTTCTGCATAATCTTCAACTGTAGTCTCAGGAGCGTCTTCCATTGGCTCATCTTCAACACCAACTTCTGGCAACGTATCTTGCTTTGGAGTCGTATTCTTACTCTCAGACTCCCCATACAAGAACTCATCTACATCCGCATCATTTTCTATAGCTACTGCATGACGTACACTTTCTTCTTCCTCTTTGTGCTCTAGCCTTTTACTTTCTGACCCTGGCGTTGTTGCCTGTGCTGGTTGAGGAACAGCTGGTTTGGGCATAGGCACGATCGGAGCAGATGGATCCTCTATCAAGAACTCTGGGAACAGTATTTTCATGTTGTCTCTAGTAACGGGATCAAGTGTTGGACATTTATAAAGAGGTAATAAGCTCCTATAAAATAGTCAATATCTACAGCACACATATATTGATGTCATGACTCTAACCTGATAACACCTTTGGAAAGCATCACTTTCATCCCACATGATACACACTTTGACATGTACTCTTTCATAGGTGGATAATACTCGTCTACGGCATACTTTAAGAATTCCATCAACATAGCCGTAATATAAGGGTATCTCTCAGCCGATCGTTCCATCAACAGCATGGCGGGTTCAATAAACATGATATTGTCATTAGATGTAAAGAACAGCCAATCGTAAATAAGGGCCAGCTTAATATTTGCTGCTACTACATTGCTCTTTTTTTTTTTTAGAAAAAAAAAATTAAGCAAAGATTGAAGATATCTGGTTGTTTTCCTTTTTACCTTTACAGAGCGAATCAAGCTTCCAATGACTACATATCTGGGCACAATATCACTCTGTAATATCTGATTTGAAGGATACCAGCCAGCAACGAGATATCGAATTACATCAACATAATTAGGCTCCATTTCAGCTGTGGATAAGAACCTCTGAATGAACCAATTCAAATTTCGTTGATACATGTTGATTTTTAACTATTAAACATACATGAGTCCATCTCTTTCTTTTATCTTTTTTTTTTTTTTTTTACATTTTGCACTATATAAAGTAATTTGTGTTCCATATCAGGAGTAAGCCGACACCGTAGAAATTCTTTAGGTGTAGGCTGCAATAATAGCATATCAATCCCTATTATTTTGTTATTCAAATGTCATTGAACAAGTATATTCCAAACCTTTAAATCTCGGCGATAGTTTCTGTGGTTGCTTCAATATATCTTCCCAAAGCTGTCCAAACTCGGGTATGGATGCTAGATCATGCAACACTCTTGCCAGATCTCTGCCAATAGGTACACATACTATCCACTTTAAAGAAGGTGTTAATACAATCACTGTAACCATATCCATCCTACTTTTTCACGTAGTAATGCTATCACAAATCGAATTTCACGCTGTTGAATAGAATGAAATGCCATTGGCTTATGGTCAGCAATAACACGTAAATAAGTATAGACAAATGTCGCAATCACTCTAGGATTCACATCTAACCATGACTTGTGAGCTTCGCATAATTTCAAAATCTGTTCACACAATAACACATTTCGCTGACTTGTGTCTCCTCCTTTTATCTGTCTAAGCAAGCATAAATAGAGTGTGTCGATAATTTGTACGTTTAAGCTAGTCAATTCGCTAATGAGCCAAAATATCTTGGTTTCAAGAGTCAGCAAGAAGAAGAAGAAAGAGAAGGTTAATGAGCTTACCTGTTCTCGCACAGCGAGCTTGACTTGTTGAAATTTTATCGAAATACAAAGCACCTGAAGTCTATTCACAAGGACTGAAAAGTTATCTCTGTTGACAAAGCTGATGGACTGAAAGAACTAGATGCATATACATTAGACTTTGCTTTTTTAAGAATGACTAAAGCCATACACTGCGAGCATTCCCCGGTTCGGTTAAAACGCCATATAGTAAAGCAGAAACGACCTCGTTATATTCTCTTTTGTTTTGTGAAGCCTATTGAATGTTGTCATAAATATGTATATGTTTTCGAGACCAAGCATTACCTTGTCCTGAAGATAGTTGTGAATTTCAATTTCTGACTTGTTTTTTGCTGCCTCTTGATATTTTGCATAAAGCCTTGAAAGTTCCTTGAATAAAAAAAGAAGTTATATACTTTTTCTAAAGTAATTATGACGTCAATATCTTACAAGCTCAAACTCATCTTCTGCATCTATCAAAGATAGGTCATAAATTCTGGATGTTGGCTGTTCAAACATGGACTTTACGCGCACACACAAGAAAAAGTACCACAACGCATGAAGCTGAGAACTGATTTTAAAAGCTTCCAAGCCACTCACAGGCACGACTGCTATATTCAATCTCAGTCCAGCAAATTTTTTAAAAAAGCCTTTCAAGGCCGTTTCTTGATGGCTCCTTCTCTTTCCGTTCAGCAATGCAACTTTTCGTCAAGTCCCTTGCCGGCAACACCCTCGCTTTCGAGGTCGCTCCCTCTGCTTCCATTGAAAATGTCAAGGCTATGATTGCCGCTCGTGAAGGTATGACCGAGAAAAAGCAAAGAAAAAAAAATAGCAATGTGTTAATGACACGACACGACTCCAGGCATTGATGCTTCTTTCCAATGTCTCTCCTTCGCCGGTAAGTCTCTCCAAGACTCTGAAGCCCTCTCTGCCTACGGTGTCCAGGACAACTCTACTCTTCACTTGAACGCTGAACTCCTCGGTGGTGGTAAGAAGAGAAAGAAGAAGACCTACACTACCCCCAAGAAGATCAAGCACAAGCGCAAGAAGGTCAAGATGGCTATCTTGAAGTACTACAAGGTCGATGAATCTGGCAAGATCACTCGTCTTCGTCGTGAATGTCCCAACGCCACCTGTGGTGCTGGTGTCTTCATGGCTAAGCACAAGGACCGTCAATACTGTGGTAAATGCCACTTGACTTATGTCTTCCAAAAGGTAAACAAATGATAACTGCTATTGATGTGCATATGTCTAACTCATAATGAATAGGATCAACAAGCTTAAATGACATTTAAGTTTAAAATCTAAAAATAAAAAAATGACATAGTAGAAAACAATAATCGTGCCCTTTAATTGTGTGTTTTGTGTCCCTTTTATAACATGAATAGTTGTTTCATGACTTGCTGCTTGAGGACGGCTGTGGGCGATCTATAGTTCATTTGTTCATCAATACAGTTATATAGTATGTAATGTATCGTGTTACCTTTGTAAACAGGTTGCCTCTCATAAGCATTAGGACTCACTTCTCTAGGATTCTTCTTTTTTCGTCTATGATTACAGTTGTTGGAGTGTCTAGCTCGATCGTCATCACTATCACTACTGCTATTATCATCATCACTGCTACTGCTCTCTGTATCTGATTCTCCAACAACATGCGGCTTATGATAAATACAGCAAACTAGATATACATGTCAGTTTGTATGTAGTTGCATATGATTATAAAGGTTTACTTTTTGTTTTCTTTTTATTCATGTGTTCATTATCAACAACACTTTCATCCCAGCGAATACTTCTTGGTCGTCTTGAGGACATATCACCCGTGAGTCGTAAGACGCCCACTGGTTCAGCATTGTCATTGTCGGGTTCAGTCTGTTCCTCATGTGTTTCATTAACTGTCAAAGTCCTCGAGCCGTGGTTGGCTGCAGGTGTCTCTTCACGCACTCTAGTCATCTCTATCGGTCTACTCATTATACTATAAAAAAGAATAAAAAAGAAAAAGTGAGGATTTTTATTTTTTTTAGTTGCTGCCGAATTAGAGCCAATAGCATGATATTTTTACGTCTATTTAAGGGCGTACAATTCTAAAGAGAAACAAAAGGCTCATCATCATACAGCTTTTGTTGTCTATCCTCTTTTGTCTCTTTAAACATAGAGTTCTAGTACTGTTTACAAAAGGCCAACATTATAAATAGAAACGCTACATACAGATATATATCCAGCGTTATACATCCACAAAAGTGAGGTTCAATATTGCATAAATCAGTATAGTTTATTTATTTACTCTCGCTCGACTTGGCTCGGTGTATTTTGTTTTGAATTGATAAAGAACTGTCTTTAGACCGTTATTTTCATTAATCTGGTAATAACTTTCAAAGAAAAGAAAGTTACTGACCATATTCATGGCGATTTATTAGAATGACATTACTACCATCTGTAAAGTCTTGGATTTTTTTTAGCTGTATGTTCAAAGCACAGCTTTCTTCAAACAGTGGAGCTTATGCCACTTTAGTTCATCATATGATTCTTGTCAAGAGATAGGAAAAAGAAGTAGTATAAGCAAGGATGTGCGTAGGACAAACAATCATGCTTACTGCATAAAAGCGATACACCTATCTTATGAATCGATTGTTGTGAATCATTGAATTTTTGTAAGATAAAGAGATAAAACGATATTCAAACGAATCTGATTCTTCAGCCGAGCTTATTTTATTAGTTAAAGTAGGATGTTTCTCTGCTATTGAATAAACAGTGTTATCCCAATATAAGATATCTAACTAAGGGTTGCGGTGCTTTGACCTTTATTAAAGCTATATATATTATATAATTAGTTAAAACTAAGCAGATCATATCCTCTGCCTTATCATAACATATCAATATGCAACAAATCATATATGACTGTTAAAACGTGAAAGTCGGCATTTGAAATAATATATGTGGCTTGTAGAATTTTCATTTTAGAACCTTCCAGCGAGCGTAACCTAATTTTTCTCTCTCCTTCCCCTTTAACAAAAAGGTAAAGTCATTCATCCATCCATGCATCCATCCATCCATCCTAACAAACCATCCATATAGTATTCACCATGGGTAAAGAAAAGACTCACGTTAACGTTGTCGTTATTGGTCACGTCGATTCCGGTAAATCTACTACCACTGGTCACTTGATTTACAAGTGTGGTGGTATTGATAAGCGTACCATTGAAAAGTTCGAAAAGGAAGCCGCCGAACTCGGTAAGGGTTCCTTCAAGTACGCTTGGGTTCTTGACAAGCTCAAGGCTGAACGTGAACGTGGTATCACCATTGATATTGCTCTCTGGAAGTTCGAAACCCCCAAGTACAACGTCACCGTTATTGATGCTCCCGGTCACCGTGATTTCATCAAGAACATGATTACTGGTACCTCTCAAGCTGATTGTGGTATCCTTATTATCGCTGCCGGTACTGGTGAATTCGAAGCTGGTATCTCCAAGGACGGTCAAACCCGTGAACACGCTCTTTTGGCTTTCACCCTCGGTGTCCGTCAATTGATCGTTGCCATTAACAAGATGGATACCACCAAGTGGTCCGAAGCTCGTTACAACGAAATCGTCAAGGAAGTTTCCTCCTTCATCAAGAAGATTGGTTACAACCCCAAGTCTGTTCCTTTCGTCCCCATCTCCGGTTGGCACGGTGACAACATGTTGGAAGAATCCAACAACATGCCCTGGTTCAAGGGATGGACCAAGGAAACCAAGGCTGGTAACAAGACTGGTAAGACTCTCTTGGAAGCTATCGACAACATTGACCCTCCTACCCGTCCTGTTGACAAGCCTCTCCGTCTTCCTCTTCAAGATGTTTACAAGATCGGTGGTATCGGTACTGTCCCCGTCGGTCGTGTCGAAACTGGTGTCATCAAGGCCGGTATGGTTGTCACCTTCGCCCCCGCTAACGTCACCACTGAAGTTAAGTCCGTCGAAATGCACCACGAAACCCTCGCTGAAGGTCTCCCCGGTGACAACGTCGGTTTCAACGTCAAGAACGTTTCCGTCAAGGATATCCGCCGTGGTAACGTCTGCTCTGACTCCAAGAACGATCCCGCTAAGGAATCTGGCTCTTTCACTGCTCAAGTTATCATCTTGAACCACCCTGGTCAAATTGGTGCTGGTTACGCTCCTGTCTTGGATTGTCACACTGCTCACATCGCCTGTAAATTCTCTGAATTGATTGAAAAGATCGATCGTCGTTCCGGTAAGTAAAAACATTTGAGCCAATCAAATTGCATTATTAATGGGTGTATTTTGGGGTACGTGTAGGTAAGAAGCTCGAAGATGCACCTAAATTCGTTAAGTCCGGTGACTCTGCCATCGTCAAGATGATCCCCACCAAGCCCATGTGTGTTGAAGCTTATACTGACTATCCTCCTCTTGGTCGTTTCGCTGTCCGTGACATGCGTCAAACCGTTGCTGTTGGTGTCATTAAGGCCGTTGAAAAGGTTGACAAGGCTGGTAAGACCACCAAGTCTGCTGCCAAGGCCGGTAAGAAATAAGCTATTTCTTATCAATGAAGTAAAAGTGGATCGCATTTTTGTTTAAATAAAAACATTTTCATCAGTTAAATTCCATTAGAATTGGGAAGTTACTAATGTTGCTAATCAGCTTTAGGTTTATATTAATGATGACTTTAGGTTCAATTCATCCTTTGTGATACATATTCATTACGTTACAGGAGAGTAAACGAGTAGTAATGGTTTCATTGAAAGACATGTGTGTTGTCTGTTGATATCGGTTCTTTTGATTTCTATACCTTTTTAATTTTCTGCATGTCATTGTATTAATTACTACTCCCGTTGCCATTTTTATCTAAGGGAAGTCACTTTATCACCAATGCCGATAAGGAATCTGAGGTTGACAGATTTAAAGTGTTCTGATCAACAATAATATGCCTCAAGCGGCTTTGCATGTAATTGTTGAAGCCACTAACTTTATTGGATGCAAGATCTTTCTATCATAATAATCAGTAAATTGCGAGCCAGAATGTAAGTGATAGCAGAAAGTTACTATTAAAGTATAAAACCATAATATATTTGTTATTTTTTGTACAAGTACATTCCATGAAATGCAAATATCTGACTACGTAGACAAGAATTACTTTAACTAGAGCAAACGTATATTTATATGACAAAGACTCATTTCCTCACAATATTTAAAAAATAATACACTTTTTAATAATTTAATTGGCCGTACTAATACAATGAAATTAAAAGATCAGACAACAAAGCAAAAGTTGTTTATGTATAAAAAGAGATTCTAAAATTATGTCGTTTAATCTCTTGTTATACTTTTATTGAAACGGATAAATGTCTGTACCAATAGATCCTAGCGTATTGAAACACGTATCTCCTCGTGAGAAGTTTAAACTGATGAAGCAGAAACAAGCAGAAGTTCAGGGAATTATTGCCGCTACTCCATCTGCCTCGGGATTGCTTGCTCCTCGAACGATTGTACAATACCAAGATATCGAAAAGCAATATATGGAATACATTGAAACGTACAATGAAGATCGGGAAGTGCCTGTAATAGCCTGGACTAAAGAAGGATTCAATTACAGTATTTTTTGTTAAACTTTATACATGTCAACATCGACTTACTTGTATTTTCTTTCCAAATAAATAGATATGGTCAATGACTACATATTTTTTCGTGCGATGTTTGGTGTCGGTAGAGTTGAGAAAGTCTTACAGCTAGGAAAGGTAATCCGTGAAATAGCTTGTCTCAATGTCGTGGTAAGAGTATTTTAAATAAATTACTGGGCTGACAACATTACTAACAGTTTTAAAATTTCAGGCAGGTAGAAAAGATAGATCACTCAAGCTCTCTGTAGAAGAGATGAACAAACTGAGAAATTATATGTATGAGCTTTCTCAAGTCGGACAACTAGGCCGTAAAGGAAAGGACCAGGCAATCTTCGGTCTACCAGAAGCACTTATCATCTCTAGACATGTTCTTCGAACTGATCAAGATAGATATTTGAACTACTTGACCTTTCACTTACAAATTGCTGTTCTCACATTACTCATTTGTTTTACTGGTGCACGTCCTAGCTCATTGGTAGCTGATGCTAGAATCGAAAATCCTGAATATCTGAAATGGAAGGTGATTATACTCATTTTATTGATTTTAATTTAATTTCTAATAAATTGTAATAGCATATTCAGTTATGGCGAGAAGGTCAAGATAGACGAGGTTATCAGATCATTTTACAAATCACTATCCCGCATTTGAAGGGTCGCAATAGATTCTTTTCTGAAGCTAAGCGAATCAGTAAAAAGACACTCAAGTCTTTTTTAGATCCTAATAAGCAATACGATGTTCATCTGGATGCCACACTCATGATCGTTGCCCTTGCATTTAGACGCCAAGTCGCCGCTTATGACAGTTTTGAGCAATGGTGGTCTGGAAATCAAGCATTGTTAAAGATAAAAGATGAACAAAAAGAGCAACCTGTTTTCGTAAACCACTCATAGTAAGCTACATAATCGTACATTGTTCTATTTCTAATGTATCAAATTTGCATGTTTTTTAGTGGTGTGTCCGAAAAAACTCCATGGAGTACAGATGCAGTAACCCATACTTTCGCAAGAGTTATTCGAAGCTCAGGATTAAATCGCAAGTTTCAACGTCAAAAGATTTTATTAGCTTTCAATGCTAATATTTCTCTTATTTAGCAAAAGGAACTCTCTACTCATTTCGAAGAAATTTTGCACAGCAAATGAATGATAACTTGTCCGCGCAACCTGCATCTAGTTTAATAGGCCATAATCCTTACAGCCATACTCTCAAAAAGAGCTATGCTGGTGATTTTGAGCGGTTAGATCTGACAACATTAGTACATACCGGTGAAGCTACTCAAGCCTCAACGATGAGTGTGTTGCTAAAACCACATGCATTCCACATCGCGGATATCAAAAGATATAACTTAACTCCTACTGAAATCCAGTGTTATGTACTTCAAGACGAAACACTCATAGCGCTGAAAAACAAACGTGAAGTTTATGTGTATGAAAGAGAGCAAAAATACGGAAAGAAACAGAAATCATACTGGGAAAAAGAAGAGCTCAACATTCTTAGAAAATTCTATGATCAAGTAAAGCGAAGAAAAAGGTACTTGACGCTGCGTGCGCTGAAAGCGAAACATGAAAAAATCTTTGGTGAATTAGAAGAGCACATACAAGTTGATCAAGATGGTAATGTAGCTTTAGATGAGACAGAGCTACTACGAAAGTATGGTGTACCACTCATTAATTCTCAAGAAGAACTTTTAGCTGAAGATGAAGCTTTTGAGAAGCAAATTCCTAGTGACATTGCATTGGTTGAGGAAATAGGATCATATCAAGATCCAAAGACCACTGACAAGAATAGTAATCATTACAGTGACACTACGGCAGATGTTGACTATGACGAAGAATTTGAAGAACATGAACACGGTATAACTGTTGAAACAGTTGATCCAAAAAGTATCAAACTAAAACGAATGTTTAGATAATGAATATTTGGTTTTTGAAGAAAACCAAATGCAGGAATATGCAACCGATGACCATATAAACCCTCCTGAATCTAGTGAAGCTGCGGTGGTAGCCATCCCAGGTATGAAGATCACTGCGTAATAAATATTCACATCATTAACACTAGATATATTTAGGAGCAAGCTGTGTATCTATACTTCAACAACTGAGATGTTTGGATATCCAAAATTTACTTAGAGGAAAGGACCGTTTTTACACAAGTCGTCCATGTATGTTATGTGAACAACAAGGTATTAATACATCGGTCGTGTATCCAACTTTGAAACAACTTGCTGCTCATTTATATATGTCACAAGCATCTACTACTTGGGAGCTGCCCGCCAGTTCACATCGGGTTGGTATGCACACTAACACTGCTGTATTCTTACGTGAATTCCAGCCAGTTCCAACAAATACAGCCTACCAATGTGGCTTCTTGGGTTGTGATTTCAAGAATATTAAAGAAACAGCAGTAAAGAAGCATTTAACTAAGCATTTAACTGAAGCTGGCGTCAAAGATAAGTCTCATGAACAGGCTATACAGGAAATGGTTCAAGTCATCGAGGATAACATTGGCTATACTATGTCACAGAACGAAATTCAAGATCTTATAGATAAAAGAGAAGAAAATAGAGCCAAAGGACGAAAAAGAAGACAAGCAGCGAGGGATTTAAAAGAGACAGCAGCGCTAGAACCATCACAGAGCAAGCAGAAAAAGCGTTAATCCACCAAGAGCAGAAAAACTAGCTAAGCTCTTAAGTCATTATTCAAATAAATAAATATTATATTGGAATAACCAATCTTTCGTAAAAAACAAAATATTCTTTAACCAAATAATAATCTTATCTAACCTGTATTTGACGGAATTATCTTCATTTCTGAACCTGTTGTTTGTTTGACAGAGAAAAAAATAATAGTTTCGATTGAAACAATATACAATTCCTTTATCTTGAAGGACAAGGCACAGTTTCCGTTTTAGACAAAAATGCGGGGTTCCTGTCAAATACAAATAAGGAAATTCTCAGTTTTTACCAATTGTTGTATATTTTTTCTAGAACAAAATCCTCTATGAATATTGGTGTTCACTTCCACCCTATAACACTGGAGAGCATAGATCGACTGTTGTCAACTTCATTGATGCTAATCTCTCTGCTACTGTTGTTGAAGTGACCGAGCATCTACTGAAGCAATTTCATGATCTTAAAGTATCATGCAGCACTGTTAATAACTTTATGAGACGTGAATGTAACCTTTTGTTGAAAAAAGCAGATTTTCATTATACTGAGAGAAACAGTCCAGCAAAGATTGAGGAGTGGTACAATTGGGTTCGTAAATGAGAAAATACGGACATGAATTTCTTGACGAGTCTGCTTTTGATATAAATATGAAACGCTCACGAGCTTGGTCGAAAAAAGATGCTCGCGCTATTGTTAGTAGACCTACCACGAGAGCAAACACGACGTCCATATTGGGCGCAATCTCTGCCTCGGGTTTGATTACCGTTGGCGTAAAAAAACCAAGAGCTGCTAAGAAAAGAAATGCTGAAGGATGTATAAGCTCAGGTACCGTAACAGGCCACTATATCACTCTCTTAAAAATGACTCTTGATGAAATGGATAAGCACTCACATATGAAAGGTCATTATATAGCCATGGATAATGCGCCCATTCATACGCATGAAAACATAAGGAAGTACATTGAGTATCGAGGATGCAAATGTGTGTATCTTCCCACTTACTCTCCTGAACTCAACCCAATAGAACAATTCTGGGCAGTAATAAAGAGTAAAGTTAAGCGTCATCGGTTTTTGCAGGAAGATACCCTGTCAAAAAGAATTACAGAAGCTTACAAAAGTGCGGAAAAAAGTCATTTCAAAGGTTTCGTTTCGCATTCTTACAAATGCTGGGATAAATGTCGAAACAGGGAGCTCATGTAATGGCCACTTTATTAAAAGCCCAAAGCAAAAAAAAAAAAAGTTAACATAGTGGTGGAGTGGGGAGCGGAAGTAGATGGACCAACTTTGACGACACAGTCGTCGCTGTCATAGAAGTAACGGAAGTTGTAGTATCCACGCTACTATTCAGTGCTAATATACAATATCTAGAGTTGAACCTAATGTTGCTGTAAGATTTGTTGCACCTTAATCAAATATAGTCAACTCAGTTTAAATACCGCAGCTTCTTAATAAATAATTATATATCTGATCAACCCTCTACAAACACAAATGGAGGACAACAATTATATACAGAAGAACAAGTTAACGCCCTTGTGGAAAGGGCCACTCAAAGGTTCAAAGAAATCCAACTTGCAGAATTGGAACAATGAATCCAGGGGCCTCCACTTCCTGAAGACATACAAGAGAAACTGGATGGTTACAGCCCCTCATAACTGCAAAAAGCCTTACAAAGATTCAAGAAAACAGTCCCTAAGTACAACAGTGAAGACTGGAGCACACCAGAGGAAACAAATCCAAATTCCGTCAAAAAACTTAAAAAGTGGAAGGTCGATTCTCACCAGCTCGTTAACACCATTTACCGTCTTACGGAAAACACAAGAATTCAAGCCAGAGCGGCTACAGAAATCTACGAGCAACTTCAGTATGTTGAGGAACGAGGATGGCAGAAAGAAGACGAAAAAGTTTTCTCAGAAGCAGTCGAAAAGCTTAGACGATTGGCAGTATTTGGCTATGAAGTCGCAAAAGCTCAAGAAGATGAAGCCAGAGAGGAGACAACAAAAGCTCTCAAGCTTCCTTATAGTCTCAAACACATGGAAAGTTCACCAAAGGGAGATAAAAAATACGTCTTTGACCAAGACTTCGTTTGACAGTACTATGCCGATTCCTTTCAACAGCAACTTGCGACATATGTCTCTCGAACAAGTAAAACCGACAGTGGAGAGTCTAATTTCAAACGAAAGTCGAGGAAGGAATTTTTTATCCAATTGAGGACGAGACAGGGGATCACAACGAGGTCAGCAGTTCAGTCACGAAGTTTCGTCCCAAAACAACAACACAAACAATCAATAGCTATGATGAACTCAGCTGCCTTGATTCAACAACAAGTCTCAGCACTCTCCAATTCAACGATTCAACATCGAGTAACATCAGCAACTCCTTCTTCACACAACCATTATTCAGTCCCCCAGGATAGGATACTTCCTGGAGGACGACTACACCATTTTCTAGCAATTTGGCGCAAGATCACAAAACGTAATTGGCCCTTATCAGTAATCGAGAAAGGTTATCAGCTCCAGTTTGTCCAACAACCAGTTCTATGGAAGGCAGCATCCAGCAAGCATTCACCGGAGGAGAAGATGACAGTGGATTCAGCAGTAGCAAAGTTTCTCCAAGCTGGAATTATTCAAAATCATCAACTCAGAACAAGCAGTTTTTATCAACTTTTTTCACTATTCAGAAGGCGACGAAACAACATCCGATTCTGAATTGTACGAAACTGAGCCAATTTTTACAGGTACAACACTTCAAAATGGAGGGAGTTCCAGCTCTACGAGGCATCATAGAGAGAGACGACTACTTATGCAAGATAGATCTAAAGGATGCGTATGTACTGGCGCCATTCATCAGGCTTCTATGAAAGATCTAACCTTCGAACATGGAGGTATAGTATACCAATATACATCACTGGCATTTGGGCTAAGTGTAGCACCCAGAGTGTTCTCAAAACTAATGCGATATGCAGTAGAACACCTCAGAGCTCGAGGAATAAGATAAATTTACTATCTGGACGATATATGTATCATGGAGAAAACAAAATCAAAGATGGTAGAAACAGTCAAGATTGTGTGTCAACATTTAGAGGACCTTGGATTCCTAATAAACAGGGAAAAGAGTGTATTAGAGCTGAAGTCCTCCCAAGAATACCTAGGATTTCTTTTCAATACAAAACGTATGGCGATTTCTCTCCCACCGTCGAAAATAACCAAGTTACTCCAACGATTACGACAAGTAGAAACTGTAACGAATCGATCCTGCAGATGGATAGCCAGTTTGCTAGGAAAGATGACGGCAGTGATACCAGCAGTGGGAGAAGCATTGCTACATATTCGTCACCTCCAGTGAGATTTAGCGAAGAGTCTACAGATGAACCACAACAACTGGGACAAGACATGCAAGATATCACAATGGTCGAAAGCGGAGATACAATAGTGGAAGAACTTTTTGGTGCAGAAGAACGGGCTTCCTATACAACAGGTACCACTAGCAACACCAGCGACCACAATATACGTAGACGCATTAGACGTAGGATGGGGCGTATCATCAAGCCTAATAGAAACTTCAGGGTTTTGGAACCAGCAGTGCAAAGAGAAATCAATAAACGTAAGAGAGCTGACGGCGATCTACTACGCGATTATGATGCATGCAAAAAGATTAAAAAATATCACCATCCAGCTTTTCAGCAACAACATGACAGCACTGAAATACGTAACAAAGGCCGGAGGAACCGCGTCGTTCGATCTTCAAGATTTGGTGGTCAAGATTCAAGACCTGTGCAACCAAAACAACCTGACAATACATTACCAACATATTCCAGGCATAGAGAATATCAAGGCAGACAAGTTGAGCAGACTCAAGAGGCCCACGTACGAAACAGCAATTCCACAGAGGATGTTTCAACAGATCTACAAGAAATGGGGTCCAATCATGGAGATCGACGCATTTGCGGCCAGTCACAACCATCAGCTGAAAATATATTGGAATTACCAAATGGATCCATTCGCTGCGAAGATAGATGCCTTCAAACAGAATTGGAAAAGGAAGGGCTTATACATGTTCTCACCATGGAGGTTAATCCCCAAGGTACTACAAAAGATGAAGTCAGACCGAACAAAGGAAGCAATTCTAGCAACACCTCTATGGGCGAGTCAGTTTTGGTTCCCAATGATCCTTCAAATGAACCACCTGGCAGATCTGATAATAGGGAAAATAAGCCAAGGCAACTGGAGCTTAGTCGCTTGGAAGTTATCAACAACAAAAGGCAGTCCGATGGTATGAACGACTTACTAATCGCCCACTTAAACAAGGCCACTCGTATTAGTACAAACAAAGCGTATGATGGTTATTGGAGAAAATACACTGAGTGGTGCCAGCAGAAGAATTACAAGGCCGACACTTATGATATTTGTTTTGCCAAGTACAAAGGTAAGGGACAAAAACTAATAAGATAAGAAGAGAATAGAAAAGGACAATAAGTCAGTGAGACTGAAATATATGATATCTTTATTTACAATGAACAAAACAATGGTATTTATACTTTTTAACATCTACTGTTGCGGATACTTAAGAATTATAGCAATAAACATAGAATAACTATAGTCATGTTAAGCATAACCTGAGGTTCAATGCATTAATCCCAATTCAGGACCGCATAACCTTGATTAGATTTTATTGTATTCAATGGTATACCTCTTTGGCACATAATAACTGATGTAGCAAAAGCAGACTCGTCAAGAAACACACAATTCGTCAAGAAGTTCATGTCCGTATTTTCTCATTTACGAACCCAATTGTACCACTCCTCAATCTTTGCTGGACTGTTTCTCTCAGTAGAATGAAAATCTGCTTTTTTCAACAAAAGGTTACATTCACATCTCATAAAGTTATTAACAGTGCTGCATGATACTTTAAGATCATGAAATTGCTTCAGTAGATGCTCGGTCACTTCAACAACAGTAGCAGAGAGATTAGCATCAATGAAGTTGACAACAGTCGATCTATGCTCTTCAGTTAAGATGCACTTACGACTTGTCTTTTTACAGCTCTCAAAAATACTGTCAGGACACGCATTATACTGACTAACCCACCTATAAGCTGTTTGAGGGTGAATGCCCAACTGCTTTGCTGCAGCTGAAGCAGCCATAAATTTTTCAATCTTCAGATCGAAAAACCTAGCTTTATCCTGGACTGTATAACGCACATAGTCTCGTTTTGGTTATATGAACATCTTCATTTTTTGGCTTTTCTAATGACATTGGGCAAGTCAGAGAAGATTCATTGGGGACTGCATTTCTTAAGTACTCTGTATGAGTAGCAATATCCTCAACAATAAATTCATTCTGATCAACAATGTAGTCCATGGGCTCAGGACCACCATTCTCATCAATAACATTCCCATGTCCATCTTCATATAGAAATATAGTATTCATGTTGAATTGTAAAGTATTGAAAAAAGAAAAAATGCCAGAAGAAAAAAAAATACTCAATCTCGTTCTATATATTTTTGGGTGCCAAGAATCACGTGATTTCTAAGCAAAACGACTAGTGGCTTTATTTCTAAAAATATGAAATTGATTTTGATTGGCTGTGACATTACTTGGATGCACTGTACACCATTTCCAGAAAGAGATGTTGCGCTGACTTGTCGCTTTTTCGTATAAACTGTACTGTAAAAACTGCAAAAATGTGATTTTACTTTTGAAAAGACTGTACATGAAGGCGATATCACAATGGACTAATTTTACCAGATTGTTAAACGTTTTATTTACACAGCAAATAAAATTTCATCTTTTTCACAGATCAAAAACACAAATAGCCCCTATTTTCCAGGTCATCGATATTTACAAGAAAAAACTTAGAATCGAACGAACAAGTCTGTCTAGAACTGGTCCTTTTGTGTGTTTTTGGACTCCAGGCAACAAAACAAAATCTGCAGACTGTCTGATGTCACGGCTTGATGCACCAACATGAGCAGTGAATTTACCAGAAGGAACAACCCAGGACTTAGAATCAGTATCCCAGATACTTAGTTCAGTTGATGTCAATTCAAATCTTATCTCTTCCTCTTTGTCTGCCTTAATAAACACCTTTTCGAAACCACGAAGGAGCTTGGGCGGCTCATTTGCGCTTTCAGGGAAACTGAGATAAAGTTGAGGAATTTCAGCACCATCAAGATGTCCCGTGTTCTTGATTGTTACTGTAACAGAGACTTTGATAGATTTTCCAAATACATCGACCTTGACTGTGAGGCCACTATAAGTAAAGCTGGTGTACGACAAGCCATGACCGAATGGGAAGAGAGGGGTAACATTATGAGCATCAAACCATTTGTATCCCATCAAAAGCTTTTCTTTGTAAACAACATTCTGAGCGGGATCTGGTTTGATGGGATAGTCTGAGGCTTTCTTGGCAATGGTGTATGGGAGACGACCAGAAGGATTGACCTTGCCTGTAACAACATCAGCAAGAGAGTTACCAGATTCTTGTCCGGGAAGACCAGGCCAAACAACAGCCTTAATATTGGGATGGTCAATCCAAGGCATTAGAACAGGACCCACAGAGTGAATGACGACGACAGTATTCTTGTTTGCATCAGCAACAGCTTTGATCTTTGGAAAGAAATTGTATTTAATGAAAGGCTCAGAAAACATAAAAAATACTTACCAAGTTATCGCCATTGTTCCATAAGCTGAGATTGTTACGGTCACCAACATTGCCATCCACAACCTTGTATTCTTCTCCTGAGTCAGCACTCGAAAATACAAAAGCAACATCAGCAACCTTGGCAGCAGCAGCAGCAGCGTCAAGATTCCAGTCATCTAAAGACTTTGTAAACTTGACATCTTCACCCAAAGCGTTTCTAAGGCCACTGATAGGCTATATTGATAAAGTTAGTTTGATAATTATAGAAAATGCAAGTCTACAACACGTGCATCAATGAGATATGGGAAGAAAGCAGTACCAGACCCCCAGCCTTGAGCAAGAGTACCTTTGTTGCAACTATGATCGTCACATGCATTAATGCCACTAAAAAGTGATGTTAATTCTACTTGAGAATGCATTCAATATAAACGTACTCTGGGTTGACCGCAGCATCGCTTCCTACAAAGGCAACATTCTTGATGGACTTGCTTAATGGCAAGATTCCATTATTTTTCAAAAGCACAGTAGAGGCTGCACCCATTGTGCGGACCAGTTTGTAATGATCTGATTGAACATTGACATAGGGTGCTTTATCAAGATGGAAGGAATCTAATGTAGTCTCAGGAAACCCTTTGTCTTGCCCAAGCTTATACCAAGCAGCGACAATACGAGTGGCCATATCTGTCACGCGAGACTCTGGAACTTTTTTGGCGCGAACGGCATCCGTCAAGTTTTTGCCAAAGTACGAGCCGCTAGAACCCATGGTGATATCACCTAGAATATACAAAAAGAAAAGACTAAGTAAAACGGGTTAAAAAGGATTCAAAATAGTATTACCAGGCATAGTCATATCAAGGCCATGATTTGCCGAATCAACAGTAGACATAGTGGCTGACCAATCTGATTGCACAAAGCCCTTGAATCCAAGTTCGCCCTTTAAGACAGTGTTCAAGAGATAGTCATTTTCACAAGCAAAGATCCCATTGATTTGGTTGTAGCTACACATGACAGAACCAACGCCTGCTTCAATAGCACGAGCGAAGGGCCAGAGGTATATTTCATGCAAAGTCCTTTCATCGGCTTCAGATGATCCAGTCGTTCTGTGAAGCTCTTGCTCGTTCAAGATGTAATGTTTAGCAGTAGCAATAACGCCTTGACTCTGGATACCCAAAACAGTTTGTTCGGTAAGAACACCTGTCAAGAATGGATCTTCGCCACCTGATTCCCAACCACGGCCACCTTCGGGGGATCTCATAAAATTCATTGCGGGGCCTAATTGGATATGAGCACCCTTTCCGCGAAATTCTTGACCCATATAGACACCACGTTCATAGATGGCATTCCTATCAAATGAGGCAGCAGCATTGATGCCAGCAACGCCAGAAGTTACATTATAGGCAAATCGAACACCGAGTGGAGCATCTTGTAAGCAAAGAGAAGGGAAATCAGGGTTACTGATAGCATAAGTATTACCGAGACAAGGACCTTTTTCCCAACCGATACCAGTAGTAATGTTGACCTTTTGTTCGAGGGACATTTTATCAACCAAAGCCCTTGCCATTGTATAGGCTTCATCCCAAGAACGAATGTTGACCTTGTGTTCAGCTGGCTTTATCCAGGCATATATAATCAGTAGCACTGTGATAATAATACTAGAAAGGAAAGGAAAACGCATGTGGAACTTTTAATTTGTAACAGGTTTTGAAAAAAGAGAATCGCTTCATTTTATATAAACAAATGATTTATGTATTCTTAACGCATTACCTTATCTGGAAATCGGGACTTTTTAGAAGCTGTGCAATTAAGGAAAAGATATGTTTTGACATATACGTGATATTTGTTTATGGAGCCAGAGCTTTGCTACGAGCTGTGCTACATGTAATGATTCAACAAAAGCACCTTGTATTTGTTTCACTTACCAAGCTTATGCACTGTAACCGGGACCAATGCATCTGGATACATACTCTTTGATTGTATGATCAACGTCTTTAGCTAATGAGCATAGTATCTCTTATTGAAGCAGGATATTCTTAACAAGGCTTTATTCTTCAATTTAATGATATCAAGTATTGACATTTGGCTGATATAAAGATGATCTGTGAGCAGCTTCAAAGGTGGATAGATGACTTCCTTCTTGGGGTTATTCTCTTCCGGTGACTGGATATCGCCTTCTTCTACGAGCAACCTATCTTTTTCGTAGTCAATAGTTACTTTGTGATAAAGTGTTTTACATGATCCTTGGTATCTCTCTTTTATTTGCTTTGTTTCCTTCGCATATTCCACTGTAATTTTGTTCTGCTTTAAGGGGATTGAATTGTTATAAGGCAAGGATCTGCGGTTAAGCAGAGGTTTGTGTAAAAAAGTGGACACTAGGCCTTAGTATAAAATCAATTGATAAGCTTGTACTAGATGCCTTTGTGAAAGGGTAAAAGAATAAGATGAGAAGTTTTATAAACAAAAGTTAAGACTTGTTTATTATGTGGATATATAATATAAAAAAAAAAAGGTAATTGAATGAATAACGACTTGGCAAGGAGTGACAAGAATCATGGCTATTTATACTTACTTTGAGAGAACATCAGGGCTGCTTTTTCATTTTGTTTCTGTGCTACACGGTATTTTAGTTGATATTACTTTTATATTCGTTTATATACTTAATTACATTTTTTATTTAAATGATTATAAGACCCTCTTACGTGCTTTGTTCCTTATTAATAATTTTATAATTTACCCAAGATGTAAAAGAAGAATATATGAAGCATAGGAAAAAAAAGAGGAAAGTGCTGCCTTAGTTTTTACAAAAACAAAAACTGTATTTAGAGTTTTGACGAATATGCTGGCGTCATTTGAATTCTAAAATTTCGAATAAATCGGGTTGGTCACTGCCAACTTTTTATAGCTCTCATTGGGAACATCCTTTAATGTTGTAAACTATTCTATATAATTTTAATAAACTCTACAGTAGAAAAGGAAGAAATAATGTCGTAAAAGTATATTCCTATTTATTCGAGAATTTGAGAGCCAATATTACATAGGAGCATCATTACTGCCAGAGACGGTATGGTGTGTGGTATTGTTGTTACTAAGGGACGCTGTTGTTATGACTATTTTTGTGATGACTATTGTTATCATGGTTATTGCTGCCATGGTGTTTTTTAGAATATCAATCAGACTCATCAGCTTCACTGGAAAAGTCATTGTGTGACAAATTTGCTTCTTTCTTTGTAGATATAATAATTGATCTCATTTGTAACTTCTTTTTAAAGTAATCGTCTGTTCATTTTTATTGTATGTGCACTGGCCATGCGTGTATTGCTTATCTTTTATTATTTGGTCTTCAAGTTTGACGCATCCCACGCAACCATTGAAAAAAAAGAAGCTCAGATCGGAACAAAAATATACATCCTATATTTTTTCTCTAAAAATTTAGGTATATAAAATACTCGCCATCTTTATTTATTTTTTCTTTTTCAATCAAAAAATGGACACACTTTTACCTATCAAAGAATTGAACGAAGCCGATTTTGAAAACTTTATTAAAACGGTCAATACACTATTTGAAACTGCGCCTCCTTTGGCTAAACGATTATATGAAAAGCGACCTTATTCTAGCTATGACGCACTGATTAATGAAGCAGACGAGATTCAATCAAGACTAAACAAGGAGGAAAGGATTGAGGTGATAAACGCACATCCACGTATTGGGGCACCCAAGCAGAACCTATCTGCCATGTCACAAAGAGAACAGGGCAAGGGCCAGGAAGATAATGAAGTGAATGAAGAGTTGAAACGATTAAACGAGGCGTATGAACAAAAGTTTGGATTTAAATTTATCGTGTTTGTGAACGGAAGAACAAGAAAGGAAATTATACCTGTTTTGAAGGAACGTATGGAAGGACAGAGCCGAGAGCAAGAGTTGAATACAGGCATTCAGGAGATGATCATGATTGCCAGAGATCGTCTCAAGAAACTTGGTCAACAAAGTCATTTATAATAATAAATCATTTATTATATATAAGTTATAATTCGCTCAAATCTTTTAATATCTTTTGTGAAGACATGTCTAAGGACTTTAATCTGGTTGCCCTCTTGAACATCAGTTTCTCAGTTCGATACTGCTCGTAATATCGTTCGACGGTGTCTAATTGTAAAAACTTTCTATGTGTGAATAATAATGCATGCTTTAGTTGATTGAAATCTGAATATTTATCGTTTAGACAATCGATTGTTCCCCATCCAAAATCTCTGCCAAGTGATAACCCCTCGATCTCTAGTGGTTTACCCGTATCTGGTTCATCCTCATACGCAATAAACGTGAACGGAATGATCTTTAGATAGTCCAGTATCGTCTTTGTATCCTGGTCTTCTTCCTCGTAATTGAATTGCTGTATAAAGTCATTCAAGGTCTCTGCTTTTTTGGTTTCTTCATCCTCATCCTCATCTTCCTCTTCTTCTTCTTTTGTAGGCATACCATAAATGGGTATCTTGTTATAGATATCTTGAATGATCCTTGGCTTCAATCGGTTCTTTTGAGCCAAAGTAAGTTGATCTGCTTTTCCAATCACAGGGATAACGTTGACACGGTTTGATAATCTTGTCAGGATACGAATGTCATATTCATCCAAACATGATTTTTTGGGATCCATAAAATAAAGGCAACAATGAACCTGCGTGTCGACTGCTTTTGGATTACGCTTGACTTTTGTTTCCTATTTTAGGTTTCCCCCTTTCCCTTTTAATAATAAGCACTTATTAAAGTAACCCTAGAGTTACCTCGGCCAAAGTCAAGTCAAACTGATGTTCAATATATTTCAAGATATCATGCAGCTGTTTATCGATCAAGTACTCTTGGTGAAATCCAGGTGTATCGATCAATGTCAGGAGAACATGTTCTCGGTCAATATTGATTTCTCTTGATACAGTATAAGGTTGTAATGTCTTCTCGATAGGTCCTTCTGGTTCGATATTCACAAAGGATGTTTCACTCATAAATGAGTCTCTTCTCTTCTTGGTCGTTGGTGTCTCTTCCTTCCGTTGTTCTTCTTCCAGTCTGAGGGTTTCCAGTAGAGTGCGGATAAAACTCGTCTTGCCTACCCCTGAGTGCCCAACGACCATCACATTAAAATGTGAAACAGTGTGTTTCCTGGACCTAGGTGCCATTGAAATATGGTTTAAATGAAAAAAGGTAAAAAAAAAAAAAAGAAAGAAAAAAGAATTAAAAAAAAAACTTATAATCCTTGGCCGTTTGTGTAGCATCAACTGTCTTTCTGTTCCCTCGTGTAAGTAATATAATTTATAAGTGTACAACAACAACAGCTATAACAAAGATAAAAAGTTTACCTTCATATTACAACTTGTCTATTTACTCTTGCTATACTTTTATTAATAAATGCCATGAGAAGTGATGACTTTCCAGAAAAAAAAACTTGTTTATAAATCCATCAGTTAACAAATAAAATCAGTAACACAAGGCTAAATTACTTATTAAATTATCTGATATTCAGTAGCGACTAAAGCAAGGTTTATTTGAACAATGGAAATCACTGTAGCTTTTCTTTCTGGATGTGTTTATTGTGCCTTGGAATTATTAAATCCATGTATATTTGTTTTAAAAGCATTCCAGTAATAGTTAACGTCCGTTCTAATCAAATTTGCACCTGTAGAGATTGGGCAAGATCTACAACCCAACCTGGTTACAAAACAGGTCAAAGAGCAGCCAATTATTTTAATCTTGATTGCCTTGAATATTTCATACCATCTAAGGATATAGTAAACAACATTGATCATTCAATGGCCTAATGACAAGGTCAATCATTCAAATATTACAACTTAGAAACTACTTTGATCTGATCTGGGAAAATTAACAGGAGAATGCTTTTATTAATCCATCTTGATAGCATTCTTATAACACTAAACTATGGAAAAACTGCTCTGAATTGATAATTTGTGGTTCTTTGCCCGTTACTTTGAAGAAAGTGATGGTGTGACCGGTATCACTTGGAGAGACTTCTTGAAACCTGAGTCCATCCAACTTGACGGCTTGGAGGAGTCGATTATAATCAAATGTATTGACGCGAATCCATTTGCCTTTTCCACAGCAATTGAATGTATATTTCATGCGAGTTGCTTCCCATTTGCTAGCTGGTTAAAGCACATCTATTTTGGTATAAGCTATCCAAAACAGGGAAGCACTTCCTGTAATATTTTGAGTACACTCATGCTCGAAATTTTCTTGAGCGAACTCCATGCAGATAGGATCAATGTTTCCTTGAACTGTTTGCAAAATCATAGGTTCGGAATTTACAACAAGCAGATTTACCATAAGGAGAACAATAGCAGCAATAAACTTCATATTGAGATAAAGTGTATGATGACGAGTTTGAAAGTGCTCTTTTCAAAAATTATTTATACTTTATTTCTCTAATTATCCATGCTTCTGTGCTTGATATCTGACAATATATACAAGGTATGAACCCCATGAATGTAACGAACTTTGTTTCTATATGCAGCTTATTGTCGAAGAACGAAACAATAATTCTCTTATATAAGGGTTATGATAACTTTACTTGATTAAGCTACTGATTACAGCATAAAGAAATGCTATTAAACTATGGGTGATTTTCTCAAGTAACGTCAAAAAACTTATGAGGTACCAGACTGTATTGACGACGATTATAGCGTCCTTTGACATGGCTTATGTCTTTGTTTCATGATTGAAACATGATAAAAAACGCTATACAACTAAAAAGCTGCAGCGTGGGTAGTCAGCGTTTCAATTGACATTGTAACGAAAGATGAAAAATAATAAATCGAGAAAGAGAATAAAGAGCACAAGATTAGTCAAAAAAGCAACGCTTATTGCTGAAGCCAAAAGTAAATTAAACGGAATGATGTATCTTTGATCCTTACTGCCATCTATACAGCGCTCGTTAATAAGTATAAAGACTTAGGTAACAAACTATTCAACCAAGTTTAATTGGCTCTGGGAGGCGTTATGAACCTAATTATAGGTTGTGTTGACAGTTTTTGAGATACTATTCTCATATAAAGAAGAGACAATTGTGGTGGCATTAGCCTTTGTCATGAATTAGAGTATGATTTTAAGCACACTGGATTAACATATGTTGCGTGTATACTACTGCTGCATTTAGTTTTGCCCTTTGCTAGACGTATGAAAGACAACAACTATCTCTGCGTGTACATTGCGTAATAATGTTGCCTTTATCAGAAAAGGGTTGCTGTGCCAATTGCTGAATGATGTACGTGTTAGGGTACTGACTCGTAGCAATACAATTGACCCAGCAGAACATTGTATCTACAAGTGACTTTCTTCGAAATACAGTCCCGTTGGTACCCAGGCAAACAGCCTCAACTCGAGACCTCCTTTTTCTGTCTTTCAAGGTCACAGATGTGAACAGATAAAAAAGTATAAAAGAAGGTCTTTTCCAGTTTTCTTCTTTTTTTTTCTCTCAAGCTTTTTCGGTTTGCTCTAATTCTGGCAGTAACCTTTATGATGCTTGAGGAAGTAGGTAACCTTTCTCTCAGAAGGGAGGGATTAGCTTATCAAAATTTTTATAAAGTAACTTCAGGTGACTCTTTTTTATTACTTTGGAAACGCTTCCCCTTGCGATTGTGACTACAATGCAACAGGGTGAGCTATAAGCTAACGTAAATGAAAAAAAAATCTTAGTGACTACTAGTAACTAAGCTTATGAGATGGTTTCCATGATAACTTTCATCGTATACACTTTATATTACAAAAATACGGTCTATCCAGGCAAATGAGAGAAAAAAAAAAATCCAGGGACATACGACTAATGTAAGACATGGACAGACTGCATACAGACAGACTTAGCGTTGGCAACGAATGAGCAAACGACAAGAGCAATAGCAATTGTAAACTACACTTGGACAAAAGTAATATAAAACCATGCTGTGCCTCTAAGTTCCTCTAAATGTTTGAAGGCGCCACTCTTTCACCCTGGTTTGGCAAGTGACTCCTTGCATTGTAGAATGTTATTCTGAACTGTTGTTAAATATAGTCATGGGTATGTACTTTTATTATCATGCAAATCCTTATTTTAGGCGACATGTCCTTTTACCAAGAACATTATACTAGGGACATTTCTTTGAGAAAGACAGCCACATGGATGGAATAGTGTCATCCTTGAGTTCTGGGCACTTTAGTCTTTCTCCACCCCCTACATGTGTTTTTATGTCCTTTTTTGCGCATCATCATAATGAATGTAATTTCATAGAAGTCATAATATTCCTCTGACAAGCAAAGACAACATAAAAAGTATAGATCTTTTAAACAAATAGATGTATGATGTGATCATACAGACATTGTTTATATATTTTTACGTCCAAGGAAACAGAAAAAGCAACAAAGAAATAGAAAAAGTATGGTTTAATAAATTTAAATGATATTATAAATGCCAGATCAAAGAAAGTATATATACATGAATAACAATATAGGTAAGTCATAGTGATAATAATAAAGATAATATGGGTTCTTTTGTAATGTGTATATTTATATGTATATGTGTGTGTCTCTCTTTTTCTCTCTTTCTTTCTTTCTCTCTGGGTGTGTGTGTTTATATATGAGTGATATAGATAATAGGTATATTTATAAATTGTATATATGTGTATATGTGTGTGTGTTATTAAAGATATATAATAGATGATTGTTGCTGGGGTGAAGCAGAAGGGGGTGGTGTAGGTATACCGATAATAGGTGTAGTAGCCGTGGGGTGATAATAATAGTAAATTTCATTATAGTTGATATTATTAATGCTGCCACTGCTATTATTACCATTCGTATTATAAATAGACGTAATACTTATTCTACGAGGAGGAATCACTTCTTGTCTTGGACTATTGTACTGATGGCACAGATTAACACTGGATCGTGAATAGCGCGGTAAATGATAGGACTCTTGAAGACTATTAGCACTCGTCATCCTACGAACGCCTTTTTTCTGATGATTCTTGTGCTCTTCTTTTGAGATCGATAAACGTTGAGTATAATCAGATAATCTATCCACATCCAAGGAAGTAGATCGAACATGTCTTATGGGTCTCACATCCATATATCCCACTTTAAGCAACTGATCTCCATATCGTTGAAGTTCGCTAATAGGCACCGTCAGATTAAAACTGTTCAACTTGAGAAACTCTATTTCTAAGCTATTCAATTCAGTCACTGGTAATCCACCAACCTATTTGGGAATCAGTATATCTTTCTATGGTGTATAAATATTCAAGTACCTTGGCATATCGAGTGTTTGTATAAAACACGTCACTAAAAAACTTGGAAGCAACCATGACACCAGCGATAATCAATCGATGAATATTAAACGAATCAATCGTAAATGGTTTTCCTGTCAAGGCTAGTGCGTTTTTAGACATGCGATCAAAATAGACGAGTAAACTTAGGAAGCATTCATTGGCGCAAGGACAATACTTTAGAATCCTAGATAAATACGAAAAAATATCAATCGAAGGCACAAGTCGAGCATGAAACCGAGTATAAACCGGTTGCTGTTTATTTAATAAATCGTTGGCTGCCGTCATACGTTCGAGTAAGGAAGCTAAGAGTCGTATTGTGTCTACGGTTGGATATTTTGCCAAATCAAAGGTAACTGGAGGTGAGGATGATAGCATTTTGGAAAAAAGGAAAGAATAATATAAAAAGAAAAAAAGAAGAGAGAGGAAAAGAAGTAAAAATTATTTTTTTAATTGTGTGTGTATATGATCACTTGGACTAAACTCAATTTGATTGGATAAAAAGAAAAAGTATACAAAATAGTCTCGTGATGAAACCTTAAACCAAATGGACGTGCACATACACGTTTTTATATTTAGGAACTTTGTTCTTTTCTCTATTTTGACTTTGTATATCAACACTTGATCAGCCTAAGTACAAGTTGAAAAGAGAGACCATTATCAATAACAACAATCAAATCACTGAAAAAGTGTGATATTCAACAAATTTAAAGAATCATATGTCACAGCACAAGAAAAAAGGTTTGATCAGGAACTTAGTCATGAAAGGGTGCGTCTAAAGAGATGAGGATCACTGTAGCTTATTTAGCAAGCCTTTTTTGTATATTCAAAAAGATCACAACTGGACTGAACAAGCGCCTTGTCGGGGAAAACACGAACCTTGATTTAAAAAAACTAGAGTGAATTTAATAATGTTGCCTCTATTGCACAAGACTTTGGTAAGAACTAAAGACAAAGAGAGAGAGAGAGAGATCCATACGGCCGTTCCACTGTCAATTCAGAACTTAGTTTCAGACAAAGAAATTTTTTGGCAAACACTTGATGCACTCAAAAATAGACTAATACTACGAGCGCTTCCTTGGGGCGCTACCTATGTTGTCACTTTACAACTTTACACTACCAAAGTCCCTGCCTAACCTAAGGCTGTCCAATTCATCCTTTCTGGTATAAACTACGAATTTATCATAATTACACATGTTCTTGGTTCTTTGCTGATTAAACTGACAACATAGAATTAAAATACATCAATAACAACATCTCTTTTTTACCTCTTTCTTCTTGAAAAGAAACAAACCAAGATGGTAACTTCATAAAGTCATGTTTAGCTTGACGCTATACGCTGAATAGTTTTGTTGGACTTCATCATAAGTAGTGAATAGAGGTAGTGCCCGTAGTATTAGTCTAACTTCTGGTGCATTTTTGAGTGTACCAAGTGTCTGCCGAAAAAAATGTGTCTTGATGGTCAATTCAATGTCTTAGGTCCTCTTCTGACGTCTTACCTGATGGAGTTGAAGGCCGGTGGTTTGTACGTAATGCAAGAGCTCAGCACGGCGCGAGTGCCATTGTGTATCGATGATATTCCTTCGTACCTTACGAACCTCAGCAAAATCAAGAATATCATTCACCATTTTCTCCGTCTTTGCACGCAAGCTGAACTATCGACAGTAATAATCCTTGGTAAACTAAAGAGGGATAGTCCTACCACTGCAAAATTCGACCATGCCATTAAACAAGCCGTCGACTGCAAGCGACAAAATTACATCAAGTATTAAAGAAGATATTAATTTCCAGAATGGATTAGGTCATGTGTATCAAGCCTACGAGTGCGTAGTTGGGGCACGAGTCTACCTATGTCTCCTGAAGGTGTTAAATGATTGGCAACTGCAAATATCAAAAAATGATGATGACAATAAATACTAGTTGTTAAGCTCTTGGGTAGTCATTTATATATTGGGAAGTGTCTGAATGTCCTTTTTGATTTTGTCTAAAAAAGCTAAGCTAAGTATCTGAAAATTAACACTGTCTGAATTTGAAGTAATGTATTATAAGTACAGCTTTATTTCAAATCTAGAAACTATTCTTTCCGATAAACTCAATCAGTGATCTCGTAGGACGACCTATGATAGATTGGTTGATTTATTCTTATAAATTATATATTCATGACTTACCACTCATGCCCTTGATGTGATATCCATCTGTTGCCTGACTGTCCATAACACCTGCTATATCAATGTGTGCCCAATCAACATTATTGACAACAAACTCCTTTAAAAAGGCAGCTGCTGAGCAAGCACCACCTGATCTCCCTTTACCAAGGTTATTCAAGTCTGCCACCAAGGACTCTTGCATCTCTTTCAGGTACTCATCATGTAATGGCATTCTCCAAAATGGGTCATTGGCTGATTTACCTGCTGCTTCCAGACGTGTCCAAAGTGTGTCTGAGTTGGTGAATACACCTGCAAATACATTACCCAATGCAACATCCATAGCTCCTGTCAGTGTAGCAAGATCAATAAGACTGGCAAGTGGATACTTTGAACTGATGTAATGTAGTGCATCAGCCTAATATATAACAAGGTCAACCTTTTTTGTGTATATACGCAATAAAGTCAATTACCAAAATCAGACGTCCTTCAGCATCTGTGTCAAGAATTTCAATAGATTTACCATTCATAGCCTTGATAACATCACCTGGCTTAGTAGCCTGGCCTGATGGCATATTTTCACAAAGTGGAGTAACAGCGATAACATTGACAGGTAGCTTTAACTTTGCAATACCGTAAAGTGCGCCTGCTACTGTAGCTGCACCACCCATATCGCCCTTCATCAGGGCCATGTTATTAGATGGCTTTAAAGAGATTCCTCCACTACAGGAATATTAACGATTGAAATGGACATCCTACTGTCAACTTACGAGTCAAAGGTGACGCCTTTACCAACCAATCCATGTGCTTTATCTCCTTCTTTTCCACCTTTATAATGAATCTCCAAGAATCTCAGTGGTTCACGACTGATAAAATGTGGTGTTGAGTAATATGTTCTATGTATCATCATTACTGTTTACCTTCCCTTAGCCACAGCTAAAAACGCATTCATGTTTTGCTTTATGGCCCATTCTTCGTCTCTAACGATGACTTCAACATTTTCAAGCCCGGCCAAGAGATAAGCGACCTCCTCAGCAAAGAGTTTGGGCGTCATTAAATTACTAGGCGAGGTCATGAGCATGCGAGCTACATTTTGAGACGCAGCCATAATTTGTCCCTTCTCCCAGTCTGGGTTTGACTTCAGGGGCTCAACCTCTATCGCATCCTCTTTTTCTTTGGTCTTGAGCTTATCAAATGAGAACTGTGCCAAAACGGCACCTTCTCCAGCACCTTGAGCGTGCATACAAGACAAGTCAATGCCAATCTTTTTGGCACCCAAGGGTTTGAGTGCGTGTAAGCCAAGTGCTGTCTATGTGTACATGAATAGAGCAGTTCTTTTTCTATATTTTCTTCCTTACTGCGCGTCGAGCTGTCTCAGGCTCATTCTTCTTTTCTTGTTCGATTCCAACAATCGCTACTTGCTTAAGCCCCTTGATGTCATAGAGTACTCTCACGTCGTCCTTTTTTTTAAAGTTGGAGGCTGATAGTTGATGCTCAATCAGTTGTCGAGTTTCTTGCGAGATATCCAGTGTTTCAATAGTTGGTTTCTTGTTTTGAACAGAAGCACCAACGATGACTGCATCAAATCTCTTTGCAGTTGAGAATAATCGCGTTGTTTGTCTGACACATGTCAATCGATGCATTTTATGCGCAAGGGTAAAAAAAAAAAGAAAAAGAGAGGGGGAAGCGCGAATGAAAATGTTGTATCCAAATAAGGCAATCACTAGACCTCTCTGTCCTGGAAACGTCCCCCTTCCTTCTTCAGCTCAATTTTCACTTCCAATAAGCATTATCTGAATGGTAAAGCTTCGTAAAAAAAAAGAAAAAAGGAGAGTTCATTGGTCCTTAAATTGAAAAAAGATTGACTCAAAGAGTACCATTCGAACAAAAAGTCATAGGTACAGGGTTGATATTAAGGGTAAGCAGCACACATCGATCCTCATTGTGTCTATTCCACACTATGATGAACCTAACCCTCCCGCCATAAGGCTACATCTTCAGATACTCTCATCACAGTAAAGCATACGCGTGATCTTCCCTCATTTGACCCTTATCTTTCTCTTCCAGGTACTTCTCTTTAGCGTGCCATTCTATTCAACGATTTATCTACCTTTGCTGACAATAGAAATAGATGTGGTATCTATGACCTCAAGAACTGACAGTCATTATGAAAGCAGAGGCCTCCCCCTCCAAGGTGTTCTTTATGCATCCTTATTTTAAACTCCATCTTTGATAAACATGTGAATTTGCTTTTTATTCTCTTTTTTTTTCTTCTTCAAAAAGTGCTATGTTAAAGGCGGCCAACCAAGTGTTACAGGACCCACTTAAATACATTGTGGTTCCTATCTTGTTCTTTCTATATAATTTACTATTACTCACTTATGGATCCTTATTTGAACCATGGATGGTTGTGTATAAACTGTATTGCGTCTTGTAATAACACTTTTTGTTCTTTATATAGCAAAAATGGCACAAGTATAAAGAAAATAAACCAGAGAATAGGATGATCAATCAACTAAAGAATGCCAAAACATTTGAAGAATGGCAAGAAAGAGCAAAGGAACTGGATAAATACCTAAGTAAAAGTCAATGACTCCAAGAGATATCACTCTGACTCTTTTTCTAGAAAATGATCAATGGATTAATAAACCAGAATCAAAGATTTATGACTACAAATTGATCAAATCTCGCCTAGAACATCAGCGAAAGGCTCGTGAAATAGGTGATGTTGATAATATGATGTATCTCTTGAGAGTTGGATTACTCAGAAACTTTGGTGGAATCTGTGACAGAAGATTATTCTCGCATGCTTATGTTGGGTAAGGAAAATATGATCATGTCTGTATGTTGAGCCAATTTTTTTTTTTTTTTATTAAGAACAAAGCAATTGATTCAAGATTATATGGAAGAAGTCGTTCGACAAATCGAATATATTGAATCCACGCCCGACTTTGAGCCTCAAGCCAAACTCAAGTTCTTTAGCGATACGAGACAGAGCTTCGGTTGTTCTGCCTTGGTACTTCAAGGAGGAACTGCTTTGGCCTTGTATCATATTGGTATTGTCAAGGCCCTGAATGAACAAGGTCTCTTGCCCCGAATCATTAGTGGAACGGCGATTGGTGCCATGATTGCTGCATTGATCTGTATTCATACTGATGAAGAATTGCCTGTAAGCGAGAAAAAAAAAAAAAAAAGAAGAGCAAAGAAAGCTAATATAAATATCATAGACAATTCTTCAACCTGATGGTATCAATCTGACTGCATTTTCAAACAAGAGAGCTACAGGGTAAGAAAAATGAATAGTACATGAGAGTGATGAATGTTCACGTGATTCATCTCTGTAGGCACTTTAAGCGACGCATTACCCGATTCTTAAAATATGGTGAGTAACATGAGTACATTGTATTAAAAGTTATATTAACAACGTGTAGGTTATTTGATGGATATGAAGGTATTACAAGAGTGTGTGCGTGCCAATGTGGGCGATTTGACATTTGAAGAAGCCTATGCGAGATCAAAGCGTGTTCTCAACATTAGCGTATCATCCAGTCGTACACAAGAGGTACCGCAACTACTGAACTACCTGACAGCTCCTAATGTGGTAAGTTTTAAAACACTTAAAGTTTCCCCACTGATCCATCCATGTATGAAAAACGCAGCTTATCTGGAGTGCTGCATGTTGTTCAACTGCTTCTGCTGGGCTTTTTGGCAGTTGTGATTTGATGGCCAAGGACAAGAACGGCAATATCGTCAAATGGATCTCGTCCAATGTTAAATGGAACCATTGGTCCGAGACATCACCTGCAGAGAGCGAGACGCCTCTGTATCGACTCTCTGAGCTCTTTAATGTCAATCACTTTATCGTCTCCCAAGCAAGCATTTATGCTATTCCGTTTATTGCCAAGGCCCAAAATCTTCATCATGAAACCTTGATTCACAAGTTGGCCTATATCGTTGCTTCTGAGTTCAAGCATCGACTGTACCAGCTTGATCAGCTTCATCTGTTGCCCCGCGCTTTCCGTGGTGTGATTGAGGAAAAGATGTCGGGTAATGTCAATGTGGTGCCTGATTTGAACTTTTCGGTAAAAGAGAGAGAGACTTTTATTAAACAAAAACTCAACATTTTTGTATAGGATTTGAACATTTTGTTTTCAAACCCGTCTCATCAATCTTTAGCTTACTGGTAAAAAAAAAAAAAAAGAAAACAAGTGTGATATAGAAATAACCCTTTATCATAGGATATTGCATGGTGAAAGGTCTATTTGGCCGCTGATCGCATTTATAAAGACGCGTTGTATGATTGAACTAGCTTTAGACAGAGGTAAAAAGAATAGTGGTAAAGAGGAACAAAGATTGATATTTTGCTATTTTAGCTGTTTTGAGATTAAAGGCTATGAATGTCGAAAGAGAACCAGTAGTGGTTCGTAGTCGCTATATTGAAAACAAAAAGAGAGCAAAGTCGATGCATTAATGTATTCTTTTCTTCCATGCTTGAAGTTGACTCAATAGATTCTTTGATACCAAATTGTCTGTTTATATTTGTTTAAATTATTTCGTTTATCAGTAAATGCTCTTTTTTTTTTTTTACCTTCTGTTATCTTGTCTCCTATGACCATATAATGCCTACATAGATAACTCCAAGTGGAGGAAGAAATGATACTCACATGTTGTAAGTTTGTTATCTCTACTGTGCAATCAATCGCTTCTTTTGGTCGTTCTGTTTTCCATCCCTCAATGAAATCCTCCCATAAGGTAATCCATTGCAAAGGCAAAAGACACAGACCATCTTTGAGCACATGGCGTGGTGTATCTTTCCAACGAATGGACCGTTCTTTTTGCCGTACTTGCTTGAGTTCCAGTGTCTTTTGGTCATTCAAACAAAGTATGTTCACCCAATGCAGAGACAGGGAGGATGCGTAATATATTTCTGCTGTATAAGAATCCATACCTCCAATCTATTGCAAGATGAATGAGTTGCGTAAGATTTACATTGTACGTTTCTTACCCAGTCAAGACAAGCTTGGCAGAAGAACTCTGACATGTTGGGTTTATAATACACCTGATGCTTCTTCTTTCCTAACCGTGCATGGTGCCTTGTATGTCGATCACAGAGTACCTGACCACAATCTGTGCAGATAAAGAGATACTCTAGGTTTCCATTTTGACATTGGCTACACACATCGACATGTACATATTGCACATTTGTGTCTAGATGAGTGCATGGTAATCGGCCCATAGGCTTAACAACACATGCCTTGTACAGCTCTCGATACGTCAAGCTCGGATCATTGTACGTCACGTTGTAATCGTTGCGGCATCTTGCTTTCCAAAACGATTCGTCATAGTACAATACAGGATAGATCAGCGAAAGTGTCAGTAGATCTTCATGGTTTAGGTAATCAGCAATACACAATAAAATATCTATCAGCATTCTTTCCCCTTCTCACATAAAAAGATAAAAAGAAAGAGAAAGAGTGAAGGGGGTAAGGAATTTTTCTTTATTAAAAATATGATGCTACTGCCTCCAGCCAGCGTTTAATTGCATAAGTGTCAAAACTGCATCTAAAGGAAATTCGGTATGTTCTGTAGCAGGTCGCTCTGATCCTTCCTCCTTGTTGGATGCAGCAGCAGCGGCGGCTAGGGTCGAAGCTAGTAAAGCAGCCAGCTTTTCTTCAGGTTTGTTCGTGCTATCCATGTTGGGAAATGTAGGTAAAGCGGCTAGTTCATTGTTGGATGATGAAGAAGGGTTGTTTTCGATATGCGACGAGGACGACGATTGCTGCTGTTGGGGGTGGTATTGCTGTATATGATGTAGAAATTCAAGCAGCTGTAGAGATGAATTGATCGGCTTGTGTTGATCCTTGTTTTCTTCTGTGGTATGATTATCATTGTTGTTATTATTATTACTACTGCTACTATCATTATTCTTATTACTGCTGCTGTTATCATTCGCAGTATCTACTGTTGGTATTATTGACCCTGTGTTCTTTTGTTCCATTGAATCTGTGCTGTCTGTAGACTCTTCTCGTTTCTCGTTTCTCTGTTCTTGCAACACGTTATCTGCCACTGTATCCGTATTGTTTGTTGATGTAGTTGTAGTGCTAGCGGTGGCATTGCCTATTAACGCACGAGCAGCACCAGGAATACCAAGACTATTACAAAGCATCATTAAATAGTTGATATCTAACTGTTGCTGAGGTGACATGAATGACTGAGTTGGTGGTGGATGAGAGACGTTATGATTTTGGACAGCACCCAAGGAATTATCAATCACACCTTTCCTTCTCTCTTTTTCCTTTCGCTTTTGTTGTCTTTTTCGAAACTCTTCTTCGATCCAAGCTCGCTTATGTTCGTTGTCTTCTTTTCCAAATAATTTATGTGCTCGTTTATTCACGCGACAGCGTAAGTCATTATCTTTATCTACAAGAAATAAAGTTTTAAAAAAAGCATTCACGCGTAATGCTATAAAACTTACTTCTCTCTTCATTTTGCTGTCTCCAACGCTTTTTTCGTTCTCTGTTATCTGCTCTCACCTGTTAACATGTAGAAAAGTGTGTAAAGAAAACAAAGAAAGGGAGAAAGGGGGAAGTTCAACGTGACGATTACCTTTTGGTTCATGAGCTCACGTTTCAACAAGTCTGCAGGTAATGTACTGAGATCGATAGGTTCTCTTTTACGTTTATTACTTGTCGTTGTTGACGACGACGTTCCGGATGATGTTGCTATGGGTGCACTGGTTGTTGTTTCTTTTGAAGCCTCTAAGTTACTGTTATTATTGTTATTTGTGGCAGAAGCAGCAGCAGCAGCAGCTACGATAGAAGCAGCCAAGACCACGTTTGTTGAGTCTATAGTAGAGAATAGTTGCTGATAATTATTTGATACACCCATAGCTTGGGCAGTAGCATGAATGAGTGCTTGAGTCTCTTCAGGTGTCAATTGTTGAAGTTGTGAGGCAGCAGCAGTTAAGACATCATTGGTTGATTGTTCAAGATTGCCTGATGTCGTTGGCTGTTCTTGTTGCTCTTCTTCTTTTGGTGACGTTGACTGCTCTTTTTGCTTTTGGTCTTCTTGACTTGACTCTTGTTGCTGTTCCTTTGGATCTTGATTCATTTGTTTTTTCTATTAATTATAAAAAAAAAAAAAAAAAGAGAAGGGAAAAAAAAAAAACCAATTATTTTTATTTTACAGATTTCAAACACAAATTCTGGCCAATCAGACAATAGAAACGAACGAAAAGACTATGAAATGATGAGGATTTATCTAATTAAAAGAGTAAGAAGAGTAGAGGAAAGGTGAAAGAAAAGGATTGATTTATTAAGCAAGCAGTATATTATTGAGCGTATATCACTTTAAGGAGTATGAAATTATAAAGAGTGTGTGTACAGGTCAGATGATACAACACTGTTGCATTTAATCTCCATTTTACGCTTTTATTATTTACCTCTTTTTCTTTTTATTTTGTTTTCTTTATATATAAATAATGAAGGCTTGGAACTATTTATCGGGTTGGACAAACAGCTTTTCTTTACCTTCGAATATTCAAAAGAAGCTTTACAAGTTTTTGTTAAAGAGAGCCATTGGACCATTCCTTGAAAACGATCTAGATCTCGACAACTTTGACATTGAACTCGTTAATGGTTCTGTAGAACTAAGAGAACTCAAACTAAATTTGACTGTAAATGATTGTTTGTATGCGTTTACTGAAGATGAACTAAAGAATTTATAGAAATTAAATGAACTATTACAAGATTCACCTTTTATGGTTGAAAAAGGTCATGTTTCCAGCATTCATGCTTCATTACCTTGGGCAAATCATTGGAGCGGAGTATCCATAAAAATTCAAGGACTTGAATTAAATTTAGTTCCAGTCAAGCATAAAGAACAACAGCATCATAGAAAGCCAGGTAGATATATAAAAGAGATACGAGGCATACTTATAAATTATAGATATTTCAATAGAAGGATCTATAATGTCCTCTTCTTTGCATTTCGCAGATGATTTCTTAAAGTCAGAAGTAAAGCAACCAGATGAACAAGAAGATATCCAATCTCAAGGAGACGGCATCTATATCCTAACACGCACCATTGATAAGCTATTTGCACAGCTTAGAGTCGATGTCATAGACACAGTGATACATATCGTACACAAGTCAGATGCTCCATTATCACCAGACAGTAATAACACATGCTACAGCCTTGATGTTTCCATACCTAGAATTGCATACTTTGATGAGACACCTGAATTTAATAATAACAGCCATGCAACTAATACTATAGATGAAAGCTCTGTCATTGTACCAAATGAAACGATAAAGATAATTACTATATCTTCTCCAACCGTCTGGCTTAGATCTGCTCCCATCATCATAAGCGAGCAATCAGACCTATTTTATGACACTAACCCATATGAAGCACTCATATTCACCACAATGGATAAATCAAATTGGATAAGGATAAAGACGATACCATACAATGAAAACGCATTCCATATCAAACAAGTTGACTTTTTATTAACTCATTCCCGTATCATTATCACTCCAAGTCAATTTGCCTTCTTTATGGGCCTTTTAAACTTTACCCAGCAGGACCAGCCTCCTCCGACAAATACAGATATTTTGGGCGACTTGGACATGAGAAACCAAAAGCATTATACGACAATTCACTCAGATAATGACGAATCCGAACGAAAGATCAAGATACAGATATCGCTTATAGAATGCTTCATATTACATCAACATCCTTCAAACAACGTATCCATTCTCGATCAGGATCTCGTCGATCTAAACCAAGGATATACTCGATTGACAATGGACCAGCTCAATATTCGAATACAACAGTTCTCGAGCCATGATCAATGCGTCAATATCCGCTTGTCTGACCTGACATTAGATGAATGGATTGAGACTAACCATGGGCTACGATGCCAGCCTATGATTCAATTTGATGACAGTATCAAAAAGAGCTATTCTCATCAGGATTTATTCCCTTCCTTTTATGATACCGAGCAGTCTGTTGAGCGTAGTTCAGTGGAAGTTATTCGTATCAAGTTGGACAATAAAAGAGGTAATATATTACAGTCATTTGTCCACTTGTGTGTATATGTATATATATGAATGGTTCATGTAGGAAACATTTCATTGGACGAAGACATATATGTAGACATACAGGCATTTAAGCTTCTTGTGGATCCACGCACTGTAGATCGATTGGAACAATATATTTTGGCCATAATAAATAGATCTCCGCCGTCTTCATCACGACCAACACAACCACCACCGCCACAAAACTTGGATTTGAGCACCTCAGAAGTCCCAACCAACACTAAATTGCGTATCAAATGTGCCTTTATCCGTCTTGTACTTTTATCGCCTGATATGAGCCAAGCGACCAGCCGGTATGAGTACACTGATAAATGTCATGACTACCAACTGAGTGTCGATATCAAGAAACCTGTGATCAGCTGGTCATCCTCACCAAGTGAAGAAAAGAAAAAGGGCAGAAAGGAATCAAGCGGTCGAAGCTTTGCTCTACGTATTAATATTGATCTGAACTATATCAACGTGTTTATGAAAGAAGGTAACACGCGATGCATTTGTTAAAATTGGTTATTGAAGAATGTTTTTGTTGCTGTAGATGGCCTTGTCCAGTGTTGGTTTACAATAAAGACAGTACAGGATAAGGATTTACTATCTGACACACTGTCACCTAGCATCGAACTCACCATTAAAGATCCAGCATCGATACATCTTCAAACGGATGCATCCGAATTTGAACTTCCCCGAGTACTGTTTGATGAATTGCGGCAAGGTCAAAAGAATATGTCGATTGAAAATCAGTCAGATTCTGCTCTTATATTCAAACAGAGAACAATTGAAACCTCGGTATATAGTTCATAAGTCATGCAAAAACACGTTTAGTGACTCTTTCTCTTTCTATTGTTTAGCAACTAGTAGCCAACTGCCATTTTCCTCAGACATATATGAACTTGACAAAGAAGCGATGGGATAAAGTGCAGACTATTCAGAACGATTTGCTGCTTTGGCAACCACGGTTCCTATTGGATGTAGAGAAAACATCTGGAGAGCAACAGCAAGAAGGACCAAGTCTACTGTCGATTGTGGCAGTCATGAGCCAAGGTCTCTGGTACCTTCAGTCATCCGATGATCATCTCTACACGCTTGATTTTTCAGAGTTCAAGTATTTTGCTTGCATGAAGCATTTAGGAAGAAATGAAAATATTACGACATTGGATATTGAACAACTAGCCCTGAATGATATGATCAAACAGCGACCGTTGATCTGTAGAACGTTGCCCAAGATAATGGCAGTAAGTTTTTCATATTTATTTATACAAACTTACTCATCTCCTCTCTCTACCTATCTATCTTTTTATATATGCATAGTCTAGTAAGAATAAGCCAATGGTATCCGTCTTTTCTAGACTTTTGCTATTTCCAGATATGAATAGAATCAATAAAGATTCAAGTGTCGTTATCTGTAACTTGTGCTGGAAGGCGACTCCAGATATTAGTTTTATAGATCAGCTTATCTATTTTCAGCAAATGCCAGAGGATGTAAGTAGAACATATTGTGTGCGCAAATGCACGCGCCAGAGAGAGATAGCTTATTCAAATTGTAGATAAACATGATTGATCCTCCAACACAATGTGTTAAAGTGTACACAAATGTACTGGAAACCTCTATCGACTATGATCCTAATGACTACCCATTCCGGTGCGTTATCTTGGCGGACGGTATACAGGTGGTGACCGAGATCTTGACAGGACAGTCTATCCTTGAAATCAACATTTCTGTGGACAGCATTCAACTTTTGTTCTCTGAACTTAATCATGGCCCCCTAATAGACGAGAAGAACATGGGTAACAACAGTACATCAGAGGCATATTGGACTAACCTTGGCCTCATACCTTTGGCTGGATTAAGATCGATTGAACTTGATGTAAAATTAAAACTACTAGACCATATAATAGCGCCCAAGGCAGACGTGGCGCTGACAAATGCTACAATCCATCTAGACACTCATGCGGATTCTTTTCAGTCCTTGATCAACCTCATCACACATCTATCAACCCTCAAGGAAGATTTCGACAATGGTTCACAGTCGAAACAACCCTTTCATAAACTCCATTCACCTTCCACCGTCAAGCAATTTATGAATGAACAAGATATGCTGGCCAGCTTGGATGAGAATGCATTCAAGATGATGATGTCTAGAGAGAGCAAGATATCTCCTCCGACGCTAATCGAGGTACCTGAAGTTGAAGACTATGAGGAGGAATTTTACGCGTCACCCACCATTAAAACAGCATCACCCCCGATGAAACCACCAAGACATATTAAGAGATCAGAGGACATTGTGCGAATGCTAGTGTCAGATGAACTCGAGTTAGTCGATAACTTTTATGGTTCGTCCTCTTTGAACGCAACAAGCGAAACAAGAAACACACCCGAGAGAACGTTAGGGGCTGTTCTATCTCTCCATGTGAGCCATGTGAATCTTGTGTGGAAATTATACGACGGCTACGATTGGGACTACGTCCGTGCCGAAATGGCAGCACGAAAACACGATAGAAGAACGACGAGTACGACAGATCAGGGAGGTGGCTTCTACCAACGAAAACGAGATACGGCACAGATGGAGGTTCAACTGACGGGTATAGATGTCGACTTTCATCTTATGCCTACGCATGAAAAGACAGTCATGCGCTTCCAACTGCGCATAAAGGACGTAGATATTATTGACAACATCAAAACGTCAGCCTGGAAGAAGTTCCTAGGCTACATGAAATCACCTACTGTGTTTAGAGAAAAGGATGAACAAATGGTTGATATCCAGTTGACTTGTTTGCGGCCTGCAGATGATCCAGAACTGAGACTCAAAGCAAAGCTGCTACCTGTTCGACTCTATATCGACCAAGATGCTCTTAATTTCCTGGTTGGGTTCTTCACGTTTGATAAGACGATAGTAAAGTCTACGCCAATCATGAATTATATACCATCAAAGGAACCAAAGGCAGATGAGACATTCTTTCGTAAGTTATCTTTTTTTTTTTTTCTGTCAAAACAGAATGCTAATGACTTTTTACAGAGTCTGTCAATATCTTCCCTGTCACGCTCAAAGTGGACTATAAGCCCAAATATATCAATTACGGTAATCTTAAAGAAGGGCAACTTGCAGAGCTTATCAATTTATTCTCGCTTGATGGCGCAAAGGTGTCGCTTTGCCAAATCAAACTGACGGGTATAGCCGGCATTGATTCTTTGCTTGACAAGATCGCGCAAGAGTGGTTACCTCATATCAAACAAACACAGGTTCCGCATATGGTCTCTGGTGTCGCGCCTATCCGATCACTTACCAATCTGGGAACAGGTATGGCTGATCTTGTTTTGTTACCCATTCAACAGTACCGCAAGGATGGCCGTATCATGCGAGGTATTCAAAAGGGTACGATCTCGTTCGCTCGTGCTACAGCGATTGAAGCCATCAAGCTGAGTTCGCGTGTGGCGTCCGGAACCCAAGTGATCCTAGAACATGCAGATGATTTCTTTGCAGGTTCTCAACAGAACCATCAGCCTCAGGAGCATTTTGTGTATACGGATGAACACATGGCTCAAACTATTTTGGCAGTTCCTGCTGATGATGAAGAAGATGACGATGAAATACAGCAACCATCTCGAAATGTCATACGAGCTGTACCTGTGGCCGTCATTAGACCGATGATTGGGCTTACGGGTGCGTTTCAAAGTATATTTAACGGTCTTAGATACTCTATAGATCCTATCAGACGATTACAAAACGAAGATGTAAGTATGTTTTTATCATGTAAAAAAAAAAAAGACTAATCGTTTATTTTTTTGATATCGCTTCTATACTTTAGAAATATAAAAAACAAAAATAATAAAGTATCCAACTTGTTTGTGTATCTCTTTAATAATATGATGGGGGAGCCGTCAGTGGTGTCAATCTTATACTGTGTGCATTCAGCGGCTTTCTAAAAGAAGATACATTATGGGTAAATCTTTCCCTATCCTTTGTTGTTAGAGTCCAATTGATGCCGTCTAATAAACCATTCAAAACCTATGCAAAATGAGTAACCTGTATTACTTTTTTTTTTTTTTTTTTTACTTACTGTTGTAACAATAGGCCTTGTCTCTGGTGGCTGTTGTTCGATAACAACACTGATATACTTGAAAACATAGTCTCTTTGTAACAAAATCAACGGGTAGAGCGGTCTAGACAAGGTCCACTGATCTGATTTATCGTCAAATAGCAGTAACTGAAACAGACCTGCCAACAGAGTCGGTAAGATATGATTGAATTGTGCGAGATAAGTAATGAGCCAATGCTGTTGTGCAGATGACCTTCGACGCTGCTGCTGTCTTGTCGATTTTTCGGTTTCTTGTATAGCAAAACAGGCTATATGATTGATAGCAGAGCAAGCATGAGAACATATCAATTGATCTGAAGAATCCATGCCTTGTTCACAAGCTTGCATCAAGTGCAAGAACGTCTCGGGAGATAGGTGAGGTAAGGCCATAAGTTGTCGTTCTCTGACTAGCTCATCAAGTAAAAAGAAGAAGGAGTGAGATAGCTTTGGGAAACTCTATAGAAAATATACAATTATACAATGTTTTCCCTTTTCTTTTTTTAAAAAAAAAAATTTACCATGAGATCATTCACTGGAATACTCTGTATTAGCTGGAGCGTTGCATCTATTGCTTCATTCACAGATTTGTCCTGATAGAGCCAAAGGATGCCGAAATTAACATATTTTCCACCAAGACACTTGGACATAATATCAAAGCACAGGATGATACCTTTATATCTGTAATCATAGACTTGATCTTGTCGTAAAACTGGCTGCTTCATCACCTGTTGATGATACATGGAAATGATTTGGCTTGCATCTCTAAAGATCAAAATACCGTTCGGAGAGGACACGTCAAAACCGAGTCTCTGGTTTTTATTACTGGCGTACTCTACGTAGAATTTCAATAATGTATTCACTATTGGATCCGGAGACCATGATTCTGCCGCACGAAGCAAGAGAGACGAATAGTAATTATAGAACCAGTCAAAAAAGAGCGTAAAGTGACGACGGCTCTGAATGGGCAGCATGAAGCCATACAAGTCTGTAAAGATGTCCCGAATTGCTTTCTATAAAAACAATAAGCTATAGGTCTCCCTTTTTTATATTTTACCTTGATTGATTCTTGTTGAAATGCTTCTACAGTGTCTAATGAACCTAATGCTTCGATTCGTCTATGAAATGGTTCCATAAAATCATAAAATGCGCGTTCTGTGATATTATCATCTGCAAATAATAGCTTGCAAAGTATTTGAAAATAAAGGATCCTATTATCATGCTGCTTCTCATGCTGACAAAAAGCAATCTCGGTTGACATGTGGTTTTGAAGAATGAAGGTAGTTGCTTCAATCTTGCGAAGGTTTTTGGAAGCACCATATCTAAATACAAGATGAGCATCCAAATGAAAAGTCATATGATACAATATTACCCTGTGTTTAAATCATTAAATAACTCTAGCGTCCGTCGGATGACAGTTTCATTATCTGCCCAGTGCTGTAAATTGGATATGCTATTGTATATACATGTTAAACAACAGTTATATGTGGCCATCTTTTTCCAATACTAACATCTTTCGCATAATCACATCTAGCATTGTCACTTGATGACTTATTCCAAACACTTCTGATAGAATCGAATAAATCTAATAAAAAAAAGGATCAACCTTATGTGTAGAAATCAGATGCATCAACTTACGTCTCTTCCACTTGATTCGGACATGTATGACTTTTTAAACATTTGGAAAAAGAAGATGATGGCTAAATCCAACTTTTCATTCATAAAAGTACTTCCGTTCTGATTCAAAAGAGATTGCTGAAAGTCAACTAGCTGCAATACCTTTGTCGTGATCTCGCTGTCTATTTTATCGACATTGTCAGACGTCATAAATGCCTAAAACATTAACTCTTAGCTAACTAATAATAATAATAATAAAATCAACTTGTATGTATTACAGCTCTATTTCCTATGAACGAAGCCATGATGTAAACAACCCAGGCATACTTTGTTTCAATCACTTCCAAAGCTTCTTTAAATTCAGAGGACATGTTTATGCCGACCGTATTGATGAGTTCCTGATACTGGTCGGTAATTGAATTAAATAGTTCAATCAAAGCTGTGCTGCAAGCCTGATACCTCTTGTGTGCTATTTGTCCTAGATGATTTAATGATTCTATCAGGGCATCCTCATTCTCGAGAGGGTCTATATAAGCTATTAAATGGAAGGGATATACATTCATTATTGTTTTAATTACCATCAAGTCCTTCCTCAATACGTATAGGAACAGCCTCTAGTGCGGTGGAAACATAGGCTTGAACTATCTATACACACCGTTAGACACTACACTAACAAGATGCCTCACCATTTTTTTACGCTACTCCTATTGTGAGATTTGCCAGTTTCTCGATTGCCTCTTCTCCCAGCTGTTGGTAATATGTCATACTCTGCACCAATCTAGTCCAGAAACTAAGCACGTAGGATGATGTGTTGGGTGCAAACTTCCATGATTGAAATGCCTTGAATGAAAAATTGGCAATCAACTCAATCCAATCAAGATATCCAGGGGTTTGTACCATTTCATTCAAGGGAACAGTAGCTCTAAATCGCGACAGGAATCGGCAGAATCCGTTGTAGTTGTCGCCATCATCCAGTCCTTGCGTATTGACGATAATGTCACGTATGCCTTGCATAATGGCTACAATAAATTTCGTTCTTTGTGGTTCGGTAAATAAAGCAATACGGATTGATGCGATTTGTACGAGACATTCCATAACCTTGGATGAATAAGGTGGTTCAAACTCGCTGTATGCTTTAAAAAAAGTGGGTAAAAAGGAGTCCTTTTCGAGTAATGGCCTCCATGAAGTAGGAACCTACATTTTGATATGAATGTGTATGATGAATAAGTTCCTTGTTGTTTACTTACCTGTATCGTTGCTGTATCTTCTCCTGATTCATCTGAACTTGTTCCGCTGAAATCATAGGAGAAGCATCTCACGAGTAAATTCAAAGTGACTTCTTTCAGTCGCTCTGCTTGGTTAACTACCAGTCATGAATGAGTATATGTGTACGCATAAAGGTTGCGTTTGGTGTTACCGTGAGTATAGATGATGCCATGTTCAACTATTTCCTCCAACGTTTTGAATGCTGCCTCACAGATGTCAAACAGTTGAGTGTCTCTGAATTCACCCGCTTAAAAAAATTGTCAGTCCCTACATCTCTTTTATGTGGCCTCCATTTACCTGCTTTTCTATATTTTGATGAGTTTCTTGTGAATGATGGCGGATTCATATCCTGAACAAGAATGGATAATAGTTGTAATCCAACAATGCGATGATCTATTGATGCCTATTGTTGTACATCTGATTGAGCAAACAAGCTGGTGTCAGGCATTATAAATATACCTGTATGAATTGAGAAATGTCTTTATAAATATTCTTATATTCTTCAACTTCTGCCCATCCGATCAATGTAATCACTGCTAATACATTTCCAAGTTGCGATATCACAAATGGTATTAAATCAGGATGTATGAACGCATACTCCAACAAAAACGTTCCTATAATGATGGTGTTTATCAATCATGTATACAAAAGCTATTATTATTATTAGTTTTTGCTCTTACGAAGTTGTATTTTGACTTGTATACTGAAAGCATTGGACTGAGCTTGCACAAGTTGTTTTATTCGAGAAAGACAAAAGGTCTGAACGAAGGGATTAGGTGATCTTGATAATAACAAACGAAGAGAAGAAGCTGTTTCTGTTGGCAGGTTGGTCGAATCACCAAAGATAGGAAAAGACTGCTCGAGAACCTTCCGTACTTGTTCACCTTCCTCTGGTGTCTTTGGGTTATAAAGCTGTTCGCATAAACTTTCAAAGTAAGTCGTGTCTGGCTCTGCCATTTAATGAGTTGAAAAAAGGAAAGAGAGAAAGAGAGAGAGAAAATGACAGCAAATTGAAACACAAGGTTTTATATTATTATTCCGCAACTTTCTACTGCAAACATCAAGACTCCCCCTTCTCCAAAAAAAAGTAAAGCGTAATTATATAAGCATAAGTCACTAGATACCATCCCTACTGGTAGTCTATGTGTTGAGTCGTAAACCATTTTTGGTCTTAAATAATTCATATATCAATTCACGCGTATCTTTTTCTTTTTCTTTTTAATGGTCAAATTTACACCGAATGCTCTCCTTGAAGGTTGAGGTTGAGGAGTCATGTTGAACTACATGTTAAACTTACTTCATTATCTGTAGACGTAGCCGAATTAGACAAGTTGGTATTTGCAAACAGCCAAGCAAAACTCAATCAAGAGCTTCATTCCTTTGTTGAGCATTTTGAAAAGAAATCTATCTCGTCTGAGGAATTAGCCAAGACTTATGTTGCATTAACTGGCTGTCATCTAAAACTAAAGCAAACCAAGACAGTTGATTCGACTATTAGTACTTCTATGGAAGAGACACAACAGTTATTAGAACAACTCTTGACAACAATTCAGCATGAAAAACAAAGTCCTAGCCTGCAACAAGAGTACGAAGAATACCAGAAGGACAAGGATAAACGAAAAAGGATGGCACTAGAGGAATTGCGAAGAGAAGCAGATCGTCTTGATGAGTATTATGCAAGAAAAACAAGAGACTCTATCCATCACCACTTGGTAGGTACTCAACAGTGGCTGTAGCATATGAAGACAGTTTATGAAATAAAAAAAAAAGTACACTGTATACTATATACTCTAAGGTCTACGATACCAAAAAAAAAAGATTAGAGTTAATAAAGTCTAATTTGAAACACTGTGCTCAAAGTAGTAAGACTAAAGGCGGGCTAGGAATAGGATGATACAGCACTAAAACTTATTACACATAACCTTGATCAATCATAATGCTATCTTATTTTTTTAAAAAAAAAAAAAAAAAGTGATATTAAGCTTGACACTTTAACAACGGGAGCAAGGAACCAAGTGATGGTGTTCTTTTACGAGGCAAAGCTTTCACTTATCCTTGAACTAAGTCAAATATTGCTAAACGGTAGAAGTCCATTACTTTTTGAATGTCCGAGGCATAACTTGGCTTGGCTTCACCATAGCTAGTTGAGTGTACATATTGATATTCCCATACATATCTACTACATAATTTGGCCGTTTGCTCATACCTACTTTATCATTGGGAAGAGTATTGGAGCTTAAATAAGAAACATTAATGATTTGCCTGACAGAAAACGATGCTTTTTTTCTGCCAATGGACCACTCTTTTCGGGTTTTCAAGTGCAAAAAGAGCTTGAATGGTAGGATGAATGAAGGATGCAGACAAATCATTCTTTGGGTGAGGACCAATATCCAGATCCTTTAGCGCAGGTGGTCTATACAGCAGTTATTAATAAGTGTATATCACTCTTCTAGACACACAGAACAGATGTTTACACAGATTCGATGGTCAATATTACATTTGTTTGTGGACCGTCAGAATCTTTAGAAAAATTTAAAAGAACCGCACGTGCATCAACATTTGTTAAAAGATCGTGAAAACCCTAAAAAAAGCAAGACATGAATGATTTTACTGTTGATTTGATTTTGCATATTCGAAAACAGACCCTATCATTAAGATATTTTTAACAGAATTCGCCAAGTTCACATCCAATATTTGTCTCAAAGACAATATTTCCCGCATGTGGTTATACGGTTAAACAGTTTTATTTATAATTAAAGCCTCAAGTGGGCGCACGATAATAATAATATACCTTCTTCGCCCGAGGCAGGTCAAAAGAGAATAAAGAATTGGTAGCTAAAAAACCCTTATGGGATCAAGGGTAAAAAATTTATTGAAGAAAGGATGTTGAACCAAGTGTAAGATACACTAGTGAGAGGAAGGAAGAAGCCAATTGAGGAGCTTTTGCCCGAGGTGAGAGGGCAGAGAAGACAGACACTTTTGGTGATGGAGGTAGTCAAGTTCAAAAAGAAGAGTGCAGATAGCTGGCCAGCGAAAGGCCCATAAGAGAGCGGTTTGAAAGAAGCGTGGTTTCTTCATAGGTAGCATGCTCAAAAGGAAGGACAATGGGTCGGAAATTGCTTCAGGTGTCATAAGTCGGTGGTGCATCTGGGAATAATGAATGGCATAGGCTTTGGTGAAGGACTGGTTGGGGATGCTGAGGGCAGGTTTTGTCGTGACCACTGGGGGGCCAACCAGGGCGCCAACGTATACAGCGACTTCTCTCAGACCTGGTCATTGGTAGCCAAAGGATGGGATCTAGGGAGATAGTCGAGCGACAGTGTATAAGAAGAACAGAGGCGTGCGTAGAGCGCTTGTAATTGAAGTTATCTTAGCGGAGCTTCCTTTGCATCAATCGTAATGAGTGGTGATCAAGGGATTCTGGATTTGGTGAGCATAGTTTCCAAATGGGGGACTTAGAGAGCTTATACCATTGGGAGTGGCTTCTAGGTTGGCGGATCAATGGGAGAAGATGAGAAAGTATTGAATCATCTGGGAGGGTATAGGTGCGTAGAAGGAATTGGGACTGAAGGAAGTAAGCGCGTTCCTGCATGATTGGTAGGTTTGCCAGATGTAGCATCATTGTTGTGGAGGAATTGCGCGAGCCCCCGAAGGTTCAACTTATGCAAGTGTTCTGAGCGTCATCTATTTGTTTGCTAAGGAAGGAAGTAGCTTTGGTAATGAATAATGTGGCTATACAGTACTTCCAAAGATTATTGACACTGATGCCAAGAGTGAAATTCGCACTTGTTAAACTCTAATGTCACGTTAATCATTCGTTGATTTCGCTTGCTGGCAAATTAAATGTTGTATATGTAGAAGCTTTGTCGTACAAAGTATGTGTATATTAAGCATGAAAGCGCTGTCAGCTTTCTTTTTTCTTCTCTTTTTACTCTCTTTCTTATTAAAAACCGATTATTACATTATGAGCTTTCAAATTTTCTATGAAGGCGAGCACGGTAGTGCAGCTGATGAATACGGTAGATCTGAGCCTAGGATTACATCATTGATGAGGAGCGATATGCTTTAGAAGCAGTTAGCTCACACACCCAGTATCTGCATAATCAGCCTCAGGAGAATAACTTCGATATAGGCTCTATGGCAAATGAAGATGCAAAAGATGACGTAGATGTTTGCATGAAGGATGCGTCGAGTAAGCGAGCATACACACTCTACACGGATCAAGACAAAGATAGGCTCTTTAAACTGATGTTCGAGAAAGTTATGAGTGCTTCGGCTGCTGCAAAACGATTAGGCATTCATGCTCGCACAGCTCAAAGATGTCTCAAATGTACAAAACGGATCCTGATAGTATTTTCATAAAGCATCAGAAAACCGGTCGCTCGCGTATACTTCATGAAGAGGACAAGCAACTGATCTAGGCAGACAGCGTTGATTTGGGTCGCTGAGAAAGGCGTCGTGCCAGAATGAATGTAGCCATTCTTTCCAAGGTTGAAGTAACTGGTGCGTCATTGGAAAATGGATGTTGTGGTTAAAATCTCCTACTAGAACAGCATGTTGTGGAGGTGCAACATCAAAGCGTAGCATGGGTTGAGAGAGTGAAAGAAAGCGGGACGATCTGGAGGACGTGCAGGAGCATAGGCGACGTATATAAGAAGAGGGTCATACGCTCCTGATAAATCTGTGACTTGAGCGACAAGGAGTCGTCCGTCTATAGAGAACCAGCGTAGTTCAATCGCCAGCTGACGATTAAAAGAAATTAGGCCACAGTGGCGAGCCCATGTGGCTGACTAAGTCTGAAGGCATAATTCAAAGGCCGAAGAAGTCGGCATGAGTTTCTTGTAAGGCTATGATGTCGATTTCTAAGGAACGAGTATAACGGGCAAATAATTTCCCTCTTGGAGAATTTTTTTAAGACCTCGACAATTAAGCGAAGTTATAGAGACACGTGTGGTATCTCCCATAATCGATGTGTGGATGATGAATGAGCCGCTTCCCCATCTGACTGTGGGACTGCGCCCGGAGTGGAGTTACTCTGTAGAAGATGCGCATCGTCTTCGATATCTTGTCTCTCTTGTGAATCTATTGACATAACATCAGAATCGTGCTCAGACTCATCAGATTCTGATTGACCATCGGAAGGAACATAATCTGTGTCGTAGGCATCGTCATCCTCCTCAGGAATAACTGCAGTAATGATAGTGGTGGATGCCTTTGACCCAGTTCGTACAATATTTTTCTGGATGTTGGCTGTCATAGAAGACTCAATGCCAGATTGGTACACAGATCTAGATACAGCAAATACAATGGGTGTTGATGATGAGGAGTTCTGAGCGGATGAAGAGCCTAAATTCAATGATGAAGACGACGTGGGTATGGTAGGCAAAGAATCATCGTAGCAGGTGCGTTTCTCGCCTACAGTGGCCGTGTTACGTTTGGGACACTCCCTAATCAAATGGCCTGGATCCCCACAGCTGTAACAAGTCTTAACACATTGCTGAGAGAGGCGAGGACAGTTGCCTCTCGTGTAGCCAGGCTTATGGCAGTTAAAACAATGAGGTGCCATACTTCTCCACAAAGCGTAAATAAGTCATTGGTTCGTTAAATCAATTTCGTGACTGAGAGAGAGGACGGTGCGACCCTCAGGCGCGGTATCGATAAGGGCATACCCTTTACCGAAGAAAAGACGACTAACCGGATCGCGATATAAACCAGCATGGAGAACTGTGCCGTAGCGAGAGAACGTCTCAGTCAGAAGTGGAGTTAAACTGTCTGACCTCATCAAAGGTAGCTTTTCAAGCGAAACTTGGTAAATGGAACTAGTAGGAAGTAACGTAGGTGTGCCGATTACGGTGAAACTCCCAACTGCTATACCAATATTGCAAGCGGTTATGCGAGATTCTGCGGAATCAAAAGCAATGATGACTCCATTAATGGCTTCCTGACGCACTGGAACTGCCTCAATAGCGGAGGGATATTGATTGACGAGAGCTTCATAGAAATCTGCAGGCAGAACAGAAAGCTGTTTTAGGTCGAAGGCTGCACTATTCATTTCATTTGATTGTACCCAGAGTTGGTCCTGATTGCGATCTCTAACAGCTGTTTTTGCTTCTGCATTCTCAAATACGGTAAGGTTAGCTTCTCGGAAGTCTCTTGCGTAGGCTGTAAGTGTTCTTCACAGTTCAGCTGATATTGTTGGCCTGATAGATGCAGGCGACTCATGTCTTGTCGAAGGCGGTGATGGCGAGTTATGATTGATTGTCTGTCCGTGTAACATTATGCTAGTGGAAAGACGTTTATTTTTTTTTTGACTTTCTCTCCTTATACTACTATAGAGGGTGACAGTGTATATGAATATAAGGAAGTTTTTGGTTTTAGTATTTTTTTTAGCAGTATGTGTAGCACTCCCTGTGAAGCGTGCTTCTACTGATATGGGGACACTTTGTTCAGTTGTAATTGGTGGAGTTTTTGCAGATTGTATTATCAACAATAGTTGTTCACCAACAAGAACTTGTGGTGCAGTTGTAGGTGGGTTTGTCTGCTGGTTAGCTGGAAGAGCTGAAAATGTTCTTGACTTCAAAATTCAAAGTTCTCAAAGTGATGATACATCAACATGTGAATGTGTTAAACAAAATGGTTATTGCTATTTAAGAGAAGACTTATAAGTGTAAAAGGCATTTTTATCCTCTTTCTGAAATTTATTTTTAATAAAACAGTATGCTTCTTTCAACAACATTTCGTCTATGAAGGTACAGGATATGCTATTGTATTTATATCTTTTCTGCAACACCAATACAGAAGAGATGGCCCTATCCACAGGAAAGTACATGAGTTAACTGTGCCCAAATTTTTAAAAGAAAAAACCTTACACACTCCTTGCTGTGTTCAATACAACGACAACGGAATTTTCTGAACTTCTTTATTGTCTCTGAAAGATTTTCGTTTCCAACTTCTATCAAGCTAAACACGACTTTACAAAGTCACCATATTGGCCTGTATCTCTTTTGAAGAGGAAGAAAGAGATAAAAAGAAACTTTTTTATTTTTGTATTTATTCTAATTTTTTGTTGTCAGTTCTATCAACAAAAGAACCAAAATCAATCATGTGTACTTATGAAGACATCGTATTTTGCATCATTGAATAACCTTGAATATAGCGGTTTAAATACCTCTACTTCTTAATATATAAATATAGATTATGCTATTATCCCTTTTCTCTTTACTTTATTTTGAATAAAGATACACACGGTGTCATTCTATTTTCTATTTTGTCTGATGACAACTTTTAACTTAAATACAACAAATAGTCAAGTGGAATTTTTATTGGATATGTAAGACATCCTGTAAGTTTTGCTTCCTTTCTTCTGATTTCATTCAAGCATATTAATCACACACAGCAATCAAGTTAGTGTCAAGACAATCTTCCCAACGGATGATTAAACCTTGAACCCACTACAAGAATTGTTTCAGGTTAGATTCTTTGTAGCTAGCCCAACAAGTCGTAGCAGGATATCTACGTAGCAAGGGACACATGATAATTTTCTTTGCATAGTAGGATAAGAGTTGGAGTCAATAACAAGCGAGTTAGAGAAGAACAGCTACTGTAGCATAGATTTCCTGATAGTGTCATTGTCATAATTTCCATAACCGAGTGTATGTGGTTAATATTGAAATTTATTTATCAAGTGTACTTTTTTAATACATTTTATGAACTTGAACGGTGCTTATAATAGGCTTGATAGATATATGCCCTTTCCTTCTTTTGTGTAGTACTTCAAGAAAAGACACAATAGCTCTAAAGAGATATGACAGGCAGAAACCTTGTTTTTCTTTTATTTCAAAGACAGCTCAGTCACTGTGTGGCAATATCTTATCTCTCTCTCCCCCTTTCCTTATAGTCATTATTCTACTGCTTTTCTTAATAATAACTCATTATAAACTTTATTTACTATTACAAAGATAAAGTATATCTTACAAAAGTAAAACGATGTCGTCAATATTACTAAACTAATTTATTGTTACACAACGTTATCACTATAAATGACTCCTATCCTTCCTTCTTTTCCTTCTTTTTTCTTTTTCTTTTTCTTTTTATTTTTTTAAAAAAAAGAAGCAAGCATGGAAAGATGGACAAAAAATAGGGCATTAGTGATGCTACTAGCTGCCATATTTATTATCTCATTATTAGCATTACTCAACAACTTGACACCAACACAGTCACTCCTATCATCAGATCTGCTCGATACCTTAAATAGTAACAACAACGAAGAGGAGATAATTGTGCCAGAAAAAGAAGAGCAAGTGACAACAAAGCCTCTGAGTGATGAAGAGTGGAAACCAAAGAATTGGGGTAAACTAGATGACGCACTTGAAAGAATAATCAAGCCAAACTTGCGTGTTCATCGTAAAGACAAGATACTACTGACAGCTGTTGCTAATCATGGCATGGGCGAATACACACTAAACTGGATTAGATCTCTCAAAAAATGTGGATTGGATGATAAGTTTGTAGTCTTTGCTATTGATGAAAAAATGGTTGAGCTGTTGACAGATGCAGGATACAGTCGTCATGTAGTGTTGATTCCCGATACGTGGTATCATAAACAGCTATCAGGCGAATTTGAAGGATGGAAATCAGAAGGATATACGCCAATCACTCACGCCAAGTCCTTGGTGGTAGAGAGGCTACTCTATGCAGATATTACGGTCTGGTTCTCAGATGTTGATATCGTATTTACATCGCCCCATATTTATGAATATCTTACCATGAAACTCAACTCGAGAAAGGTACGCACAGAAACCTTATTCAGTCAAGAAACCGAACAAAAGATCGTCAACTCTGGATTTTATATTATGAGACCTACTCTCATGAACAAGCGCATCTTGGACTCTTCAATCTACATTCAAGACAAGGAACCAAAAGTGACACAGCAAAGGGCAATAAACCTGGTGCTGGATGACTTGAACCTGAGCTATCAAACGAGCCCCATTGCCTTGCTTGATCTAATGCTTTTCCCTCAAGGCCAATTATACTTTGATAGAAATATACCTACAAAATATAATATGACACCCATGATAGTTCATGCAAACTATCGTGTAGGAGAAAACAAGAAGAAAGACTTGCAGAAATTCGGTCTTTGGTACATTTAATATCCCACAAGTTTCAATAAAATTGTTTATAGATTTAAAAGTCAATTCAATAAAAAATAACGATTCCACAAGTGACTTGCGACGACTTTAGCTAATAATTGAGGTGAGATCGTTTCCATTAAAGAAGAAATGGTCGAGCTGTAGATTAGCTCCCTCTCGTAAGCATTGAGATCAAAGAAACAAGGTGCTAAAAAGCCGGGTTTGCTGAATATGCGCTGAAATATTGCAAGTTTGAGGATAAATCGACTTTGGCACTTTACACTTTACATTTTACCAAAAAAGGAAAAGAAAACACAGACAAGTCTGAGAGAGAGAGTAGTAACAGATGATGTGCAGTGCTCCCAATATCAATTTGCATTTTTTTCATTTCATTTTATAAATACGTTTATTGTGAGTGGGTTTTGTTAGTTGTTGTTACAGCAGTAGTGACAAAAGAAGGGTTTTTAGTTGACAGTGAAATATGCACGAGGACTATTTATCGCTGCAGTTCAGGTTTCAAATGACACTTTGTCAGACGTTTGTTCAGGAATCCAGAACGCGAATACAAAAGCATTTTAAATCTTATTGATAACAATACTGATCAGATGTTCCTAGTTTCCCACAATACTTGCATAAGGATCTTTTTTGGGGAAAATTGTTACAAAATCGACTGTTGAACTTGGACAAGGTTGGTGAAGTTGAGCTATAAGCTACTTACTATGATGCCTTCCTGTCTAAAATTATTGCAGACTGTTAAACTTGTTCAGAAATAAACATCTTTTCATGTTCCTTGATGTAAGGTAAAAAGTTATGTTTTAAGAAGAAAGAGATAAAATATGGTTATTGCTATATTTTAATGTTTTTACGTCGTCAGTTTGATCAACAAAGAGCCAAGATCAATCACGCGCAATTATGGTATATATGTATTTTATATCAAAGGATAGCTCACAGGACAGCCTTAGGTTAGGTAGACACTTTGGTAGTGTGAGCTTATACAGTGACGCCACATGTATAGGAGAATAAGCACCCATCATTAGCCTTTCCGTAGATTTTCTTGTGTGCGTAGTGTTCACCAAGATATAATAACATTTCTTTTTATTGAAACAAAACAAGATGATAACTCTATAAGTTGTTATTCTACATCAATTCCTGAACAAGTTTAACGTGATACCACACATTGAAACGTTTTGTTGACGACATCACAGCCTAACTTCTGGTGCATGCAGTGCTCACCCACTTAAGAACCTTGGTATATTGTCCAAAGTTGGTCGCTGCCTTTAGAATCATGGCAATGCCATTGGATCTCCCACTGTTGAAAAAAACTGGTACTGATGACGGTTTTGTGGTTCCCATCTCTGACTTTTATGCTCTCACGCAATACATCCCTCGGCATGTCATTACAATATTAAATATCCTGTACCTTGTCAAGTTAATAAATCATACAATGCACCTTTGGGACATAGTTTTGATTTCGCTCTTCTTCCCTAATCCCATTTAGTGATGTATTCTTGATTTCATTCTTCTCCATATTCCCCATTCCATAATACATGATATGAAATAAAAAACAAGTTGATGGTTACGGTTGATGGAATCTCTCAATCAAAAAACCAACAGTCAAACAGTCCAAAAAATAAAAAATATTTAGCCAATAACCCACTATCAAAGGCACCCCTTATGTTATAAATATAGGTGGGCTATTAAGAATAATATGAATAGGACAAGTACAGCGTCTTTAATGTCATGTCTGGTATTCACCTCTCATGGTTGGAAAGAGGTAATATATGTCCTTGGTAAGTTGCCAAGAGAAAGAAATAGAGGAAATATATCAATCTTGAGGGAACTGTATTAAAATTACCACCTGTGAGTTTATAGCATCACATACAATGTGAAGTGTCTTTCTTCCAGAATATTTGATTTTTTTTTGTCTCCCCTGCTTAAAGATCAAGCCGTTTATGTATAAAACTAATTAAAAAAAAAAGGGAACCTAGAATTAGCCAATTGACAATTCGTGTTACATAAAAGGGGAGGCTAAAAATATAAAACTACTTCCCCTATTTATTCTATTTCTTTCTTACTTTTATTCTTCTTCTTTCCTAAGCCCCATCCTTGTTTATATGGTTGGCATAATTTACAAGTTTGAACCATTCAGTTTCAATGGTATTTGTCAAACAGTAGCATTATCCCTTTGTCCTTTAATAGGTCAACCCAATGGTATCGAACCAGTATGCTATTCTCGTAATATTGATCTTGCGGGAAACATTGTATTTCAGCCAGGTATATTAATATAAACAAAGTTTATATTTATCTGTGATCATTAACCCCATATGTTATAGCCACACTCGTCACTGATATTGTAGCCATCATTATGGCAGCCATCATGATTTATCACATTAGATCAAAATACACAGCTGTTGGTAACAATTCCATAACAAAACAAATATTTATACACATTATTAAACCATCTTTAAGGTCGCAAGGAAATCGTAATGTTCTTTTACTTATACATGGTAACAGTATTCCTTGAGATGTTACTTGTTACCGGTGTTATACCAACAGCGTCGCCAGTTTATCCTGTATGAAGAGAATAGAGATGATCACTTTATTACATAACTAATTCACGCTTTTTTTAGTGGTTTACTGCTGTACATATTGGACTCATGTGTGCCACCTTTTGGTGTCTATTATTAAATGGTTTTGTTGGATTCCAATTTGCAGAAGATGGTACACCCTTATCACTTTGGGTAAATAGAACCGAATAGAAAAAAGGGAGAAGAGAGAAAGAAGCTGATTATATTTATTTTAATTATAGTCTATCAGAATCAGTTCACTAGTTATCTTTCTAATCACCGGATTTATTGCAATCGCCACCTTTCAAAATATCAGCCCCTTCTCCAATAAGGCACCAGGCGCACTCTGGGCATTTTACTTTATCTTCAACGGTATCGCCTTCATTGTCTATGTCATTTCACAAATCATTCTTGTTGTCAACACACTAGACGATCGATGGCCATTGGGTGATATTTTGTTTGGCGTTGCCTTCTTTATTGTTGGTCAAGTCATCTTGTATGTCTTTTCTGTCAATATTTGTGATGAAGTCAAGCATTATATCGACGGCACCTTCTTTGGCTCCATTTGCACCTTGCTTGCTGTTATGATGGTCTACAAGTACTGGGACTCGATCACCAAGGAAGATTTGGAGTTCTCTGTTGGCGCAAAGCAGAACGTTTGGGAAATCAAGGAGTCTATTCAGGACGACGAACTGAACCAAAGCTTCAATAAAGGTACTCAATATGGTACGCCTCAACCTCAACAACGTCAACCTCAACAACAACAACAACAACAGCCTTATGGACAACCTTATCATCAGCAATACCCTTATTAAAGAAAGCATTAGACTTTCATCCTACGTATCGAATTTTTCTTTGCGTATCACATTAAAAATAAACATAAACAGACAGTCTTTTATATATTGCAAATCACTAAAGTATTGGCTCAAGGGCGACCAATTATCTATCGAAAAATGAAAAGGAATACTTGATTCAGTCCTGGCTCGCTTGTCTTGCTTATTCACTGAGATTAGCGTTCAATAATCGATTGCATCAAGAAGAAAGAATAATGAAAGATTAGAAGGGTTGACAAGAAATAATCTAATTGAGCTTTAGAAATATTGAGCATGGAGAGCAAGTAAGCAGCTTTGTATTCGCGGTTTTTCATTAGATCTTGAACGACAGAAACCTGATATGTATAATGATACTGATGTCCATCCAGTGTATTTGCAGCACCATTGATAAATTGCAGGAATACTCGACTTCGTACACCACTCCTTTCATTTACCTCTTCTCCATTATCATCTCTCTTTCTCTTGATAAAAGTGTTAAAATGAAAAAGGTAATGAAGAGCGTTCTGTTTACACATCCTATCATATAAATGAAATTCAATATAATCTTGAACGATATCACTTTCCCCAAGATATTCTATATTTATTCTTGGTATGCCACACACACCTTTGTCACAGTAGTATGCTTCATAGTGAGCAATACACTTGAATGAATCTTGATAGCGATTTTGGTCTTTCTCTCAAGCATTTAATCGTAAAGAATATTTACATTCTATATAAAAATATGTTGTCAAGCTTCATCGTTTGAAAAAGCGCTTACATAATCGAAACAAAATGGTGTACATCCTAATGTTGGACTCCATGCACAATCTGACATCGCGGACACTGTACCTTTTTTCACATGATTGTCAGCCAATCAAAACAAACAAATTGATTCGCATTACATAAATCTTTTTTCAAAATTACTACACTTTTTTCCACTCTCTTTTTTTGTTCTTTTTCTTCACTATGGCTCACGTATTATCCAGTCTAAGACAGAAGAAGCCACTGTCTGGTCTCTTGGTTATCTCCTTACTCTATGCGATCTACAAAGCAAGAAGCCAAATTAATACTATCAAAAAGGACACTCATGGCTCAAATACAGCAACAAAAAAGAAGTACAAGAAAGTAGGTGTCAACGCCGAGTTCCTTGAACAAATGAAGAAACTATTTCCTATTTGCGTACCAGGTTAGAGAATACATAATATCAACATAACAAATATGAACATAGTTTCGTAGGTCTCTTTTCAAAGGAGTCTGGTTTACTGTTTGTACTTGCTACAGTACTGATTGCAAGAACTTGGCTTGATATTTGGTTTTCGGGCTTCAACGGGTAACAAAAAAGAAATAAGAAACAAAAAGGGAGCATGTATTTACAAAAAAGTATCTATACAGTCAAGTAGTGAAAGCTATTGTTTCAAGAGACCGTAAAGAATTCATTGCGAGAGCTATTGTTGAATTTGGTTTGATGATGGTTAGATGATTTTATCAAAAAAGAGAGAGAAATATGCTGACTAACCGAATACACTTATACAGTGGCCAATGAGTATCGTCAATAATTCACTCAAACTAACTATCAACGCACTTGCACTTTCCTTCCGCCAACGTTTGACTAAGGTAATACTTTTGATGATATGGGTTATTCAATAGCAGGGGGTATTGACAATGACATTATTATTATAGCATGCACACGATCAATATCTGGACGGTATCACCTTTTACAAGATTGCCAATTTGGACAATAGACTTCAGAATGCAGATCAACTCTTGACTCAAGATATTGATAAATTCTCTGAAAACCTGTCTCATCTTTATTCTGATATTGCAAAACCTGTTGTAGATATCTTTTTGTTTGCTTATAAATTAGGTGAAGCCATGTAAGTGTTTATTTATATTGGGGAAACATATTCTTATAGTCTCATATAGTGGTAATGAAGCACCCTTCTTTATGATTGCTTACTTTATCGCTTCGGGTGTCTTGCTCCGAACATTCTCTCCTCCATTCGGTCGATGTAAGCTTCGGTCATTATCTATAAAAAAAAAAAATTAATATTAGATTATAGATACTGCAACAGAGCAGAAATTAGAAGGCGATTTCCGTTTTGCACATGTAAGTGGGGGGGAACAATTGCATCGTCTCTTATCCTGATCGTTACTAGTCTCGTATTATTACACATTCAGAAGAAATTGCATTTTATCGTGGTGGAGAAAGAGAAAAGGAAGTGGTTAACAGTACATTTGAAAAGATTTCCAACCATGTTCGAAAAGTATACACCCTTCGCTTCCTCAACGGCATCTTTGATTCAGTGCTTGTGAAATACTGTGCAACAATGACTGCCTATTAGTAAGTGTCTATCCCACACACTGGGGTCAATTGCTAACCCCTCCTTTTATAGTTTATTAGCCAGACCTGTATTTGACCCTCGCTATGGTAATAATAATAGTAACAAGTAAAAGACAGATAACTCATTTATATTAGCTACCAAATACATGGGTGCCGATCATGACCCTACCAAGCTCATGGAGGATTACTCCAGAAACTGTAAGTCTTTTTTTTTTTTTTTTTTGAAGCATCAAAAAGACTAACTCTCTTTGTATCATAGCAAGTTACTTGATTAATCTGTCTCAAGCAGTGGGCCGACTTATTTTGACTGGCAGAGATTTAACTCGTTTTGCAGGTTATACGGTAAGCTTTATTTTTGTGTTTTGTGGCCCAATGTGTATATAATGATGTTTGTGAAATCTAGTCCCGTGTTGCAGAGCTATTTGACGTCTTGACTGATGTGCGTCAAGGTAAATATAAGCGTACGATGATGTCAAATGAAGAAGGCAGTGCAGGCAAGAACAAAATCGTAGACACCACCAATACAAAGGGCAAAGTTCTCATTCGTGACGGTGTGATCGTGTTTGATAATGTACCTATTGTCACTCCCAACAGTGACATCCTCGTCAAGGATCTGTCGTTCAAGGTGAGCACAGGCATGAACTGCTTGATTTCTGGCCCAAACGGATGTGGTAAAAGTTCGCTCTTCCGTATCTTGGGCGATTTATGGCCCTTGTTTGGTAAGTGTATCCCTTATGTACATCAACGCATCGCCTTACACGCTCTTACGTAGGCGGAAGTGTGACAAAGCCTGAAGCTAGTAAACTGTTTTATGTGCCTCAAAAGCCATATCTTCCTCTGGGAACATTCAGGGATCAAGTCATTTATCCTGACACGCAAAAGGAAGCATTTGCCAAGGGTTACAATGATGAGGAACTGATGAAATTGTTGGATACGGTTCATCTCGGTTACTTAGTCGAAAGAGAAGGAGGATGGGATGCAGTTCACGATTGGGCCGATGTCTTGTCCGGAGGTGAAAAGCAACGAGTGGCCATGGCTCGTTTGTTCTACCATAAGCCACAATTCGTAAGTTGTACGAACATGCTACTAAATAATCTCTAACCTGTGTTTAATTTAGGCTATTCTTGATGAATGTACAAGTGCAGTCAGTGTAGATATTGAAGCATTGATGTACGAGCATGCTCGTAAAGTCGGTATTACACTCTTTACAGTGTCACACAGGTATAGATCTATAAGGCTCATACACTAGAAAACTAACAATTCTTTAGAACCTCTTTGATTCGTCACCATGAATATCTATTACGCTTTGATGGAGAGGGCCATTATGAATTTAGAGAGTATGTAACAAAAACAGCTGTCATCATCAGTCACTCACAATTGCTTTAAATAGAATGGACCCTGAAGATATAAACTCTGCTTTTGGCTTTGGTCACGGTAAATCCAAGCCTCAAGAAAAACTACAAGACAATGCTGAAGAAGAAGAAGAGTAGACATGTATAAAATAAAATAAAAGAGCTTATTTATTGATGGACTTCATCCACAGCACCATATTTGGGAACGGTTTCAGCGTAATTTGCTGCTTCTTTCTGACTGTAAATCCAGGTTTTTCGAAATATTGAATATCCTTGATGAGGATAGCGAGAAGAAGCTTCATCTCGATCAATGCAAACTTGTACCCAATACATTGTCGACCACCAGCCAAGAATGGCATATATTGATAAGCGTTTCCGACCTTGTCTGTTTCCCAGCGGTAGGGGTTAAATTCTTCTGCGTCGTCGCCCCAGATTTCTTTGGAATGATGACTGACGATCAAGGGTAAAAAGACAACAGTACCCTTTGGTAAAGCGTAGGAGCCTAGTACGACAGGAACACGTGTGATTCTGTTTGTGACAGGCACAGGAGGAATCAGTCGAAGTGTTTCTCGACAGACATTATTAAGCAGAGGCAAGGCGTTGATTCCGTCGTAAGAAGGAACAGATTCATCGTCTGTAAACAACGAACGTACTTCTTTACGCAATTCGTCTTGAATCTTTTGGTTCTGAGCAAGTAACCACAGACACCAGCTAAGGCTGACACTGGTTGTTTCATGACTATATAAAATGTTAGAGGCGTGCTTACTTGGATTTTTATTTATTTTTTACCCTGCTGCCAAAAAGGTCATACACTGGTTTCTCAATTCTTCTGCAGTCATGCCCTTTCCAGTTTCGTCATCGATCAAGTTTACCATAAGAGCCAACAGATCCTTTGATTTTTCTTGACTGTCTTTTTCTCGAGCTGCACGATCAATGCCTGCTTGCACCAGTGCCCTACTTTCCTCCTCCAGCCATCGAAGGTCGCGCTTGATGATCCTATTTCGTTCTGTAGGCACATGTCTTAGGATAGGAAAGATAAATGATAGGATACGAAAGAGTGAAAGATCAGCTGAAAAGATGTGAAGGTAAGCTTGACTGAGCTTACTTTGGTTCTCTGTACCAGCGTGTTCAACCGACCTGAGGTCTTGACCAAACCCTGCTAATCCAATGACATCCAAAGTAGCGAGTGAGAGGCCAGTAGATACTTCAATTTCTGTAAATTCTTCATTATCGTTTTCCTTGATCCTGTCTAGCCAGAGTCTGCGCAGTTGATATCCTGGTTTGGCCATCAGAGGAACCATAGATCGGATGGATTGTACAGAAAAGGCAGGATTCAGGAGTTTACGCTGGAATCTGTGTTGCTGACCCTCTGCCACGAGCAAGCCGTTGCCCAGGAAACGGGATAGGAATTTCTGACTATCGGGTGTCTTTATAAAATCGTACTCTTGGGTCGTCAAAAGCTGTTTGAGTAACTTATCGTCTGTCACAGCGACACGTGGCTGATTCCATTCTCCGTGGTACATGTAGATGCCGCCATACTGCTTGGACCATCGTTTGTGAGGTGCGCCTGATTCTGACTGGATAATTTCTCGAAAGTTACCTAAAAATGGGATCCAGTCAACCTTGGGCCCAGGCATGTGTCTCAATGGGTGCAAGTAGATTCGGTAGACGATGTATTTGGATACAAGATATACGGAAATGGCGCCGGAAATGCCAAGAGCGACTGTCTTTTTTTCCAGGTATTTTTCAATATACTCATTCACTTTGTCCTGCACAAGTTGTAGAGTAGGATGAATTCTATCATTCACCAATTGTTGTAAGCTCATTTTTTTATAAAATAATAATAAAGAAGAGAAAAAAGAAAAAGAATGAGTTTTTTTAATTTAAAAGTAAAAGGTAAACAGTAATGGTTCAAAGGTCGCGGAAGAACAATGCATCAAATTCGGGGATTAGTAAATATCCTAAAAAGGCAATTCACGTAATTCTGTTACACTTTTCGTCGCGCAGTTGGTATCGTCAGAAAAAGGGAGAAATTAAAAGTTTAATGTCTTGTAATTCTTGATCAAATCTTCTAGCACTTTATCTGCATACCAGTCACCATTATTCTCTGCTTGATTGTGGTCATGGAATATAGCAGGTGTAAACATGAGGGATAGATTCTTGATGGTCATTTTATTAAGGTTAGATTTTGCCTCCACTCTAATAAAGTCGGTTTAATAACAAAAAAGAAAAAAGAATTGTACGAGCTTACTTGGCTAGATGAGTAATCAATGCCTTTAAGGTGTCTCTTTCTGCTTGAGATAAATTGCTTATTGATTTTTCAAGTATGCTTTTACGATCATTGTAGTTTTCCAGTTCTATATATTAAAAGTTATATATGTATATAAAATCTATTTTTTGTTATTGACCTTACTTGAATACGTCACACGATCATTCATTGGAAAATCGAATAAGGGATCCTTTAGTTCTCTTAAATACAACTTTAATACAGAAGCAATAGTAAACACATCATATTTTGAATCCACCAATTCAACCAGTTCTTCGTCCTTTTCAAACTCACTCTTTAATAAATCAATATTACTTTGTCTACCAGAGACTCTGTAAATGCCTTCCTTTTCCAAACCACCTAGTAATTCGACTCGTTCTATGCATTTGGTGACAATCAAAGGCACTGTTCTATTATGCTCCTTTGCATAATCGTTCAATCGTGATCCAAACAAGAGTTCCTTGCATCGACCGTAATAATAGTTTTCGTAGCATACAGGCTTTGGTTTTACGAATCCCAGCTTTTCATACTCAATCATAAACCGTTCAAGGTCCTTTTTGCCATCCATTTGGTCAAGCATATCCAGTGTGTCCTTGGTTAACTATGACGAATAGATATGAGAAGGCTATTCCTTTGTAGTATACATGTTTTACACTAGATTCATTTGCAAGTGCTTCTTGTTCTTGCTTTGATATCGTTAATATAGCTGCTCTTATAGCATCTGACTTGTCAAGCAAAACTGCTTCCACATGCTACAAGCAAAGTGAATGAGATGAACCTTTCAATAATAATCTATGAAAACTTACTCGAATGGCATGTGCAGCAGTTTCTACTTGAAACCTTCTTAATGACTCCAATGTTCTGATCCCCTGTCTGTACTCTTGATCTAATATAGATGTACTTTTTTTCACTAACCAAAGAATAAAGCCATATATCACTTACCCGCATCATGTACTTCTTTTTTCAATTTAGCCAATCGAGCTGTCAGTCGAGATGGATCACCAGCAGCAGCAGCGTTGGCCAACTGAGACCTCATCTGAGTGATAAAGCCAGACATTCCATTCTTTTTGTTATGCGGAGAAGATGATAACGATTCCGTTGCTGTCGTACGAGCACTTTCGGACGAGACTCGACCCAGTACCAGGGGTTCATCTGAAGATGCTCTAGCCACCGAGGGTGGGAGTAACTGTTCGTTTGGAGATGACTTTTCATCATGAGAGGAGATCAACACTTGTTGTTGTAGGCTAACATACTCTGAACACTTGTTGAAATAATTTTTGTGAAGCTAAGAGTAAAACAGAATTTAGTCACCAAGGGAAACCATTTCATTTTGAGTTACCTTGACAATGTCTCTCGTCCTGTAATTCAAGTAATTCGCATTCTTCTCATTCAATACTGCCTTTACCCTTTTTCTCCTTTGTTCGTGATGATCCTATTTATAAATGTGAATTCAGAAGAGCGAGGAAAAGAGCGCATAAATGTTTGTGTTACTCTTTTACTTTGAGTTTTACTAGGATCTCCGTCTGATATTTCAGACAATTGATAAATTCCTTGCGTATTTCAATCTTCTTTTCAATCGACGATTCATAATGACTAGTTGACTGCTGATATAATGTTGTATAGTCACCGAAAAAACTGGATGTCGTGGACGGGGCATTATTATTATTACTGTTATTTATGGTTGTTGTTGTTGTTGTTGTTGTTGCATTGGTGTTATTCTTGATTATTTTGGCAAGTGCCAACACGTAAACTTCTTCTGCTGATATTCTAACGTTTCAAATATAAGCTTTATAGTTTGTTACAGTCCCAGGGAAGCCTACCTTGCCCTCAGTGTATTAATAAACTTTTCCAAGTCCAAGATACTCCATTTCAACAGCTTGTTCACATACTCAAACTGTGCTTCAATACTTGCAACCTTTTATGAAAATATATAAGTGTTTGACAGCTAAAGCCTTTTATATACCTCTTCTTCTTTATCCGTGTTTAAACTCTTATTGGATCTATTATGCATACGCGCCGATAATAGTAATAATAGTAATAATAGAAAAGAAAATATAAAAAGGGAAAGAACGAAAGAAAGAGGGAAAAAGAGAAAGAGAGAAAGAGTTTATTTTTAGTAGTGGCATTTTTTTATTATTTTTATTTCAGATCGCCTTGACCAAATATCTCTGCAATAATTGATATAATAATATTCAATGGTGCCTTATTTTCAACTATAGATCTTAGTTCAATACACTTCCTTGACACATCTCTTAATATCGATACATTTTGAGATGTCAGCACAGGGTCCAAATAGACAAGTAGACTGAATATGAAAAGACACTAAAAAAGACTAAGTATAATATCTTTGATTCTTTTCCTTCTCTTTACCTGTTGTTCAAACTTGTCTTCATCTAACCATTCTACATGATAACTCAATAGCTTTAAAATACTATGCTATATAATAGAGTTATTAATGGTACTATTATTATGATTATATATACCTGAGACAGTGAAGATGGTATATTGATGTCTGCTTCTGAATCCGAATTAAATAATAACTTTCCTTCTTCTTTTGACTTGATTTCCTTCCTATTAGGCGTCTTTTTATGTAATTGCATATACTAAACCAACATATATATGTTATACGTGCATTCATGGTTCATAGCCCTTACTTTTTGATATGACCTAAATGGACCAACCAATCCTCTTTTCCAAACATCCAATGCTTGTTCTTCTTGTTTAGTATCATTTTGATTACTATTAAACCATTGGAAATGTGATGGAAGCTGAACCTTTTTTATCTCTTTAGGTGGTGGTGCAACAGTTGTTTTTGCATATTTATTAGCCTGCTGTCTTGTTTATATAATTAGAAACACAATCTATAATCACACTTTTTGCTTTTTACCTCACAAGTAAAAGGTAGTCTTCTCCAGAAAGTGGTATTCCATTCACAAGATCAGGCTGACTTTTACTAATTGGAATAGCTGATTTCGTACTTGATTCTTCAACTACTTGAGAAAATATACGTTTAGGCATGAAAAAAAAGAGACTAGAAATTATTTTTTTTTCCCTTTATAAACATGTTTGCTTATCATCGATGGTTGCCAATAAAGCAATTCAAATGGGTTCGCTTTAATCACAACACATGGGAACCTTGGGAAGATCAAATGATGAAAGATTTTGTCAATGTCAACGGAAGAAAGTGGTCTCAACTCGTGCAACATTGTCTTCCTCATCGATCACCCAAGCAATGTGAATTGCGATATACAGACGCTCTAATGCCTAATCGACAACTAGGACCACTAAGTGAAGATGAAAAGAGCGTACTGAAGAAAGCTATAGCAGAGCTAGGCGAAGGCAAATGGGCACAGATCAGTCGCGAATACTTGCCTCATCGAGCACCGCGACAGCTCCGACAGGAATGGATCAACTGTGGTAGAGTTCCTCGTCAGTGGACGCCACAGGAGGACCAAGTGCTGAAGGAAGCTGTGGATGCATTTGGTGATAAACAGTGGGCCAAGATTGTTAAATTTTGTTTGCCGCACAGAACCAACACCCAAATCAGGTCGCGGTATCGTCTTTATCTGGCGCCTGAGGTCAAGAAGGGTCCCTGGACACAGGAGGAACTGAGCCTTTTGCTTCGACGTACCATCATCCATGGTGAGAAATGGGACAAGGTTGCTGAAGGTATCCCGGGTCGACAACCAGAACAGTGTTACAGAAAATGGCTCGAGATTGACCCAGGTGTTGATAAGGGCGAATGGTCACCGGAAGAAGAAAGGCTCTTTTGGGAACGTATGTCTGAATTTGGTAGTTATTCAAAAGTTGCTAAGCATATGCCTGGAAGAAATAATGTGGTGTGTGCTACAAAGTATAAAGAGACGCTCAGGGATAAGGAACTACGGGCTCTCTACGGTGATGAACTAGTCAGAAAAAAATCGGAAAATATAGTTCAGTGGAGGAAACGCGTCGCAAACATTGTCTGTTCGTGGCTCGATTCACAGATGGCTTTCACGCTTGTGTCTAACCAGAGCTTAAGAGCGTACAAAAAAACCGCCTTCAGTCAGGAAGAGATTGATTTATTGAATAAACTTGTTTCTCAGTCCAAGGAACCTGATTGGAAAGCGATTGCAGGCCAGCTTGGAGACAGGAGCCCTGCTCAATGCAAACGTCAGTATGAGAAACTAACTGAAAAGATCAAAACTGGCAAATGGACACCAGAAGAAGATCAGCAGCTTAAAGATGCAGTCAAGCAATACAGTGCAGAAGGCTGGGCCGCCATAGCCGCACGTGTACCTGCTAGATCAAGAATTCAGTGTCTCCAGCGGTGGAAACGATTATGTCAACAAGCAGATAGTAATATCCTTCGAAATACCCCACTAACAATGCAAGAGAAAGAACTCCTTTTTGAAGGATACAAAATATTCGGAGCTGACTTCAATACCATTCAAAAATCATATTTACCTAACCGTAGGCCTGAACAGCTGCAGGGATGGTGGCATTATAACAATCCATCCTCTCTAGATGATATCACAAGAAGACAACATTGGACAGAGGAGCAGGATGAAGCATTAAAATATGCCATTCAACGAACAACAAACGGCAACGGTAAAATCCCTTGGCCACAAGTAGCAAAGTTAATAGAAGGCAAAACACCAAAGCAATGTAGATACAGATGGCAACTTACTCTGAATCCTTCTGTCAAAAGAGGAAAATGGTCAATGGAAGAGGAACTGATGTTGTTAGAATTAGTTCAAAAAGAAAGCATGCACAAAGATTCAAATATAGGGTTATGGACAAAGATAGGCAAGGAACTAAATAGAGCGGCTGTAGCTTGTCGCGCTAAATATCAGTCGATGAGGTCCAAGTCACGCTTTGCAATATAAAAAGAGTTTATTTAAAATTCTACATAACCCTCCTTTGATCCATAAGCTGTAGGTGTGATTTCTACTATACAGGATCGAGATATTTTGATATTTGGTATTTCCTAATGATAACAATAAATATACAAAAAACATACATCTATGTTTTCTCTTCTTACCTTGGCAGGTCTATCAAATAAATAAGCATATAAGCAACGTAATACAGTTTCGTGAGCAATAATCAGCACGTCATTCTTTTCTCTCTCGAGTTCCATAATCACAGACTCTAATCTCACAGCCAGGTCATGGTAGGACTAGTAAATCATGTTGGAACATATTCATGCTATTTTCATTTATATATATACCTCTGCACGAGGATATCGATGACGATATGGATTCTCACAAGCCTTTTCGAAATCCTCGGGATACTTTTCCTTTAGCTCACTTTCGGACAATCCGTCTGATTCACCAGGATTAAGCTGGTTAAGAACAGACTGCTGTCGAACTGGTATATTCTCATCGACAAACGGAATAGCTGTTTCGAGGTCCTTTTTCTGGGTTGATGTCCAGACCTAATAAAATTGAGATGAGTTTTTTAGTCTCCTTTATTTCTTTTGCATGATGATTCACTGCTTACCGTCAAAAGACGCTGCTCATCTGCAACCAAGCTTAAATTCTTCGTTTCGTGATAAGCCAACATAAAGTTCTTTAACTTTTCTGCATACTGCTTTCCTTCTTCAGACAGATTTGCGTCTGCTTTGTATGAGTTGTCATTTAATGATGGACCGGACTATATACAACATGTAAGCTCTTATATAAACAATGTATATATATATATATGTATATGCCTACCCTTGCAAAGTAAATAGTACGCGGTTGAATATGGAGGTTCATGAGATAATAAACGATACGAGACTAAAAGGATAAGTGTCTGTAAAGCTTCTTTTTGCGTGGTAATAAGTATATATATACCTGGAGATATCCAATCACATTGTTCACAATAAACTGTTCTCCTGCATTCATGTTTTTGACAAACGGAAGCGATGTATCAGTGATTGTCTCATAGTTTTCTTCATGTTGTTTGATTCGACGCTACAGAATATCACAAGTGTTATTTCTCTCTTTCTCTCTCTCTTTTAATAGTTAATCTACCTTGTAATCGTTTACTGCCTCCTCAGGGTCCCAGCCGACATACTACAAATATATGTGTGTTTAAAGAACTATTTAAATAAATCACATCCAAGGCTTACATCAGGTGACGATATTTTGACACTTCGGATATTGGCAAGAATGATATCTGGCTTATTACATATAAATTCCAAAAACAATGGCTACAAAAAAAAAAGGGTGAGTTCATATTATATTACAAAGCAAACAAACAAGCTTACATGTATGTCATTGGCTATCAGCTTATCATGTATTTCCTTTCGTCTTGACTCGGACACATTATTGCCATCAAGGATAGCTACTTGTCCACCACCTGTTGTGAGCCAAGTGATCAAATCGTCAAGACATTCATCAGCAATCTTCATACGAGTTTGAACTGCCTTTTCGTTATCTGTTTATGTGTTTATAAATATTTTTGTAAACAGGTTATGGCTAAGCTTACGGGGATCAAACCATTCCTCAGAAAGGGATCCAAGTCTTTCACGTCTATAGTTGCCTACACTAAACACTTCAGTAGAAACACCCAACCATCGCATGTATCGGCATAACGATCGAGAAGCATGAGTTTTACCACGAGCAGGTAAACTATATAGTAGAAAATGAGTTTTCTTTGCCCTAACTCATCCTACGTTCATTTATTTTTACCCTACTGTGATCACAGCAACAGCACCCGCGTGGAATAAACGACCACTTGTCGTTTCATACAATTGAGCTGCCATTTGGTTTATTAATGAAAAAAAAGAAAAGGACAAAAATAACTTGCTCTGACTTTTTCAAGTCTTTGAATTCCAGCCGAGAAGACTCCACCATCCGAGACCGATAGTAAAGTAAATAAAAAGATAAAATACAGCTAATTGACCGCCAATCCTAAACCATTTGGAAGAAGACACAAATTCAGGAGCAAAGTACATGGCAACTGTTCCTGTAGAAAAGTTTGTCTGATAAAAAGTACATGAGTTACCTAAAATGAGATGGATAGTTGCTTATTTACCATGCAGCCACTGAGAGCACCAAAATAGGCAACCAAGCAAGTGAGTATCATCGGATTAGCTCCTAGTGCATGACCGGCATCTAGAAAGGTACCCGCAAAGGCAATGGTATGAGCACTAAGGGAAGAAAACATAAACGTTGTGAGGAAATAGGCAATACCGAGGGCTGGAACTGCTGGTAAATGGAAATGACTGATGGCATGTGATATCTTGAGACCTAGATAGGTAGAAGCGCCTGCTTCTGAAAGCTGCCCTGCGATTGTTATTAATCCACCTAGCCAAAAGAGTGTTTCCCACTATATTCCAAGTTAGATTTTCCTTTTTACACGATGTATATTCTCTCTCTTTCTCTTACTGCACTCGTATTTGTCGCAATATCCTTCCATTCAATTGTCTTTAGATGGAGCAAGATAACAATTCCGATCAGGGCGACTAGAGTAGAGTCCATGTTGGTATAATTTGATGTCACCCACAAAGCCAAGCACATCAACAGAACAAAACAGAGTTGCTAAGACCATCATTAATAAATAGGAAAATAGAAAAGAAAAGAAAAGGCACACATACGAATTCTTTCATTGACATAGATCCCATATCACTCAATTCCTTTTTAGCATGTTCAATCACTTCCTTTCCAATCCTATCTTTCTTTCCATAAAGCCCACATAGCCAGTATAAAAGGAAAGGCAGGAGAATAGCGCAGGTTAAGACAGGCACACTACTTCCGATAAGCCAAGTCGTAAAATCAAACTTTAGATCGGGAAACAGTTTGGTCGCTTTAGAAAGAACAATTGGATTAGGCGCCATACCTGTGAGATACATGGAAGCTGAAAGAAGATTGGCATGTGCACCCATCAACATGAGGTAGCTACCTGGCTTTGGATCGTTCAAGGGCGTTGATCCTAGACTTGCAGCAATTGAACGAACAATAGGCAAGACGATACCCCCGCCTCGCGCGGTATTACTAGGCACAAAGGGGCCCAATAGTAACTCTGTCTTATAATTTAATTGTTTTTCTCTCTTTTTCTATTTTAAACTTTTTTTTTTTTTTTACCTGAGAAAAGGATAGCATATGCCAGTCCAATGATATGCTTCCCAAATAATTTGATCATTAGTAATGACATGCGTCTTCCCAGCTGAGTCACTTCTACTGCTTTGCCTAGGTGGAATGCGGCAAAGATCAGCCAGACAACTGGGCTTGAAAACCCAGCAAGAGAATGATGAAAGGCTTCAGTGCGGCCCTTACAATCATACACACTACCTGTGAGCGGATCAGCTTGCCCACACAAACGGCATTCCATGCTTTCACCCGTCACGCGATCCCGGCACTGAAAGGATTGAGTAAGCGAAAGTAAGGTGAGTGAAGTGAGAACAAGCACGGATATGTTGATAGAAGTGGTGATTAAGGCAAATATACAACTGTGAAGAAGTGTGTCAGTTGAAAAAATAACTTTTGAATTTGCCTTGTTACCTGACAAAAATGGACAAGAGTCGAATGGCTGTAACTGTGAGTTCTTCCGAAGGGCTCATTCCAAACCAAATACTACATCCGATAGCAATGGAAGGCAAAAGTCTGATTAGGTCCGAGTGTCTCAAACAGTTGAGTATATAAATCGTGGTATTAGTTTGGTTAGTTTGTCTTATAGTATCATTAAGCTGTCTATTTTGTATCTTGGAGTCTATGTGACAAGGGAGCAGGGATGTATGCTCATTCGGGCCATCTTGTTGTAAAGAACTTGTATGGCTCATCTATAAAGTTAAGAAAGAGAGAGAAAGGGGAAGGTTTCGTTATATATATCGCTATACAGAGGTTGTGCCTTATATAGTAGCATTTGATCTCATTTTGCACCAAACCCTACATACGTAATTGACATCTTGGAAACAACTTTACGATCATCTGCATAATATAGTCAGAATCTCTTCTTAATTATTCCCCCCCCCTTTTTTTTTAAAACAGTCAATGATCCCATGATCAGTATACAATGACCTATTGACAGCTTTTTATCCTAGCCAAAAATAATAAATTTAAACCAAGCTGAGGCATTAAGCATAATTAACTCATGTTCCTGCATCTTTGCAAATTTACTTTGTCAAAAATGAAAACAATATTCAAAACAAATCTTCTTTTATTTTAGGGTTATTTGTAGATTCAATGGCTGTGAATACAGTCATACATTATAGTCCACCCTGTGGAGAAGAAGAGACACAGCCACATGGACAGAAAAAAACATATCTGCTGATACCTTCAGCTGGTATTAATTGCAGTCAGACGAGGATAACGAGGATATAACGAGGATCATGTATTAATTAGAGTCATCGTTTCATGTCTACAAAAAGAGCAACTGTGGATTCATCAGCTGCATGAGGTATTTCTGTATTCTTACATAATAAAGACATATTGTATGTATACAAAGTTTCCACTTTTATTATTTTTTTAACAAGGTTTTATACAATTTTATACACAATGTAGTAAAAGGGGAAATGTGGATATATATAAGCATAAGATCATATTTGTGTGAACTTGAGCGTATACAGTTGTGTGTGTGTGTGTGTGTGTGTGTGTGTGAGTGTTAGCATAAGATGAGGGAAAAAGTATTGCGCAATACAATTAGCATGAGTGTATGAACAAAAGGAAAGAAAAGGGGGACAAAAGACAAATAATACAATATAATTACACGATTTAAATATCTCCCAAGATATCCTTTAAGACACTATCGATACCATGCACAATGTGGTGGATATCGTTCTTCTTCTTCTTCTTGTCTACACCGTTATTGATAAGTAGATTGGGTGTATCTGAAGGAATACGTTCGAGCAATCCCTCTGTGGCTGTGTTGATAATCTTGTCTTTGATATACTTGGGTTCAACTGGCTCATCTTCCAAGCTCAAGTAGTAAGCAGCAAGACCAGCTACATGAGGAGCTGCCATAGAGGTACCTGAAATTGTGTTGGTTGCGTATCGACTTCCTCTCCAGATAGACAAGATGTTGAGACCAGGAGCAAATACATCGACACATTTACCATAGTTGGAAAAGTAAGCACGCTCGTCCTTGATGGTGCTTGCACCGACAGTAATAGCCAATTCAGCCGCAGCAGGTGAGTAGTCACAAGCATCACTGTTATCGTTACCAGCAGCAACACTAAAGACGATACCAGCCTCTACAGCACCATTGACAATTCTCTCTAGGAAACGGGATCGGCCACCACCAAGACTCATATTAGCCACAGCACCCTTATATTTTTTGCCTTCTCTTTGAGCAGTTGCCTTATCTTTGACATGCTGTGTAGTAGCCCATTCGACACCAGCGCCCACATCTTGCATTGTACCAGAGCCGTTTGATCTCAGAACCTTGACGGCTACAGGTTGAGCCTTTTTGGCAACACCGTAACGTTTGCCTGCGATTGTACCTGCACAGTGAGAGCCATGTCCGTTACCGTCTTCATCAATGTCTCCGCTTGGTACCGTATGACCCCAACTAGCACGTCCCTCAAAGTCAACATGATCCACATTAACGCCAGTATCAATAACGTATACTTTGACGCCTTCGCCACCATTAGGATCATATTCGTATTGTTCAAAGTTCTTAAAGTTCAAAGGGTCTACATGAGATACACGAGCAAGTCCCCAGGGAGCGTTTCGTTGCAATTCATTAGCATAGACCATGGAATCCTTTTCGACGAATTCGACCTAAAAAATAGAGATAAGTTTTTTTTTTGTTTTGAATCATCAATGTTAAACTTACATCATCAGATTGACGAATAGCATTCAAGATGGATTCATCAAAACGACCAGCGTAGCCTTTAAGATGAGGAGTATCATAAACATGTCTGATACCATGAGATTGAGTATGAGGGTATAACCAATCATTAAAGGAGCTTGTCTTTTCTTGGACCAAAGTACTAATCCATTGAGCATGTTCTTCTACTCTTTGATCATTCAAGTTATTCTTTAGGACGACAATATAAGAATCATGGACAACTTCTGTTTCAGGAGGGACATAAAGAGGAGCGATCACATTAGAGTCTTGTTCTTCATAATAGAAAGGTTTAGCGTTGGCTACGGAAGCAATCAACAAGGCACTGGCAATAACACTGAGTTTCATAATAAAAAAAAGGAATAAGATAACAACAAAAAAACAAAAAGAATGACCCCCTCTTTTTATACCAACATTGATTGTATCCATCTGACCTGATAGGGAAAAATAAAGTTTCATGTGACTTGTATGACCCGATGACTGCATAAAAGTATTCGTAATCCATCTAGTGAATTAACCCCCCCTTTCTCATGTGGCCGAAAGGGAGCAAATGTTATGATACTCACGCCACCACTGGTTGCTATTAGAACATACATGTTCTTATCTCTCTCTCTTTTTTATTTTTTCCCCAAAGGATCTGCAATTATTTGTATAAATGATGATATCATTTTAAAGGTCCTGTACATCAGTCCATAAATTTTATTCATTGATTGGTTCATTGATCTGATATTAAACAAAATAGGTCATTTTTTCCCTTCCTTATTATCAACGCATTTTGCCGATAATAGAAAATGGGGAAATTATTTAGTTAGAACAATAGATAAAGACTATTGGTCAATTGATATTATCTATATCGTCCTCTCCTCCCCCTGAGCTAGATAGCCCTCGATAGAACGAATGATTATGCGTAAGATTCCTTTGCTAACACAATTTTGACTTTGGACAAGACATTACGTTGGGATAGAAAGCATTTAATGTCAAACAATTACAAAGAATTCATCTGGCCTCCATTCTAGCAATGACATTGCTTGGTATATGTTCCTTGAATGAGCTGGTTTTAACGTGTTTCATTATTCTACTTTATAATCTTACACGCTGACGGCATTTACATCTAAATCTACTCGATAATAAAGATTCTACTTTGCCAGTCATCGACTTGTCGACCATTTCGCTTAAAAGCTGAATACGACAAATATGAACACATTGCTCTCTGTTATCTATTATTTGAGTCTGACATAATTCATAAGCAGCAATCAAGGCATTTCTATGACATTGCTCTCTTTCAAAATTGCATAGTTTTACGTTTATTCCAAGATTAAGAATGGAGATTGCGCTGCTGCGTAAAATGAATAGGTATCACTAAAATCTATCTGGACTTCAAAGGGTTTAAAGGGGTTAAACAAATGGGGCTGCTCCATACCAAGAAAGGTAATTGTAAAACAGAGCAACAATGAGGTTATAATGACCTACTTGCTAACGATAAACTTAATTCTTCACACGCAGCTTTAAGTCCAGCAGACCAAATTGACCACCTGAACATGTTATTAAGACAAAGAGGGTAAATGCACAAAGATGGGGCTAATGCTATGGACACTACCTGTGATGTCACTTTACAATCTCACGCTATCTTACCACACTACCAAAGTCTCTACCTAACCAAAGGCTGCCCAGTAGAATATTTTTAATATAAAAATACACTGAATACAGAAGAACAAAAACACCTACTATATTTTCGACCATCTACTAACTAGCCCTTGACTGCATAGCCTTCTTTGAGGACGTAGTTAATCATATCTTTAAGCATAAAGCCAGCCTTCTTTATGAGAACTGCTCAAAAAACTATAGTGATGTCTTCACTTATTGATAGCTAAATCAGAGGTATTGTAAACGGCCGTTTCGAACGTGCATCTTTTCAACCTACTTCTCTTTCTCTGCAAACATTATCCAATCATAACAAGAAAATAAATGGCCAAATGGCTACTGCTTTTCTTTTATTTCTATGGGTATTTAGCACATAAACCAAATATAAACAAGCGTTCATGAAACTGCTATAGGATGCTTGATTAAAAGTCGATTGCGGTCCTCTTGTTTTTTGGCGCGTTGCATTTAATGATATCATCGAGATTTATATTGCTTGGTGTCTTTCTTTTCTTTCCCCCCCCTTTTACAAAGCATTGAAGCTGGTAAAAGCAATCAATTTGTCTAAGCTCGTCAAGTGCATTCATGCCAAACAATAATAATCTCTACAGATCTTTATGCGTTTTTAAAGCGTCGTTCTTCTTATAGTCTGGCTTGACTTCAATGAAAGCTCCATCGATTCTTTTTCCTGTCAATGAGAAGCAGCTTACATCATAACGTTTTTGGTAACTTTTCAAGACATTGCAATTCAACCTGAAGTTTGAATGAACAGTCAGTACCTTCAGTGCTAGTCGCTTATATTATTCTATCAGCGCTTCCTACCAGAAGAACTGTTGTATTCAGCTTTGTTACTGAAAAAAGGCTATTAAGTCGATGACTTGCGAATTAGATTCTTCATTAAAAAGAGCTGAATATTATTAAATTAAGTTTGTGTGAGAGTTATAGGGGAGATTGAATGTCGTCAAAAAGAGCTTTGGGGGTGGAGCCACTGTATGACACTCTTTTCTAAAAACATACCATGCTGTTTTTTTTTTTTTTTTTTTTACGACATCATTTTGATAAACGGTGTATGGCTTGGTGACAAATATAAATAATAAACAATTAAACAAAATAGTGTCACCTATTTGATACTCAAGTGAGAGAAAAAGAGAGTGAATAAGACTGTATTGCTATTGACAAGATATGTAGTTTTCATTTCTAATAACAACCATACACTTTATACATTTTCAGTCATGCGCTGTAGATCCAACTCTGTTGTAATTGGTTCCATGAAATTAAGATATTACACAGTGTTGGATTAAGAAATATCAATTTTCCATAATAGGATAAATTGAAAATCATGATTCCAATTATGCCTTTCTCTCTTTTCTTCATTATTAAGTGCGTGGCTCCTTTATATGTTAGCTTTTATACTTGTTTTAATTATAGATTCCTCTAATTATGTGTTATGAAAAAATAACTTACTTTTGAAGGCGTCAAAATTGAATTTATTTATTTGTTTATTTGTTTGTTTGTTTGACATGAATTCATTAAACAGAAATGCACAAGTCTTTTTTTTTCTTTTTTCAGAATGCCAAGAGACAATACTAAATTAAGACTCCGATTATAAAGAAGTGCTTCTAAAATGGGGATTTTGCACAGCAATAGAAATATAAGAGAAGTATATGCTGATGAGTCTGTTATAGCCTCTTTATCACATATAACATCATTTTATATGAAGCAGGATTATTGCATGAATTAACCATATCCAATTAGAATTGAGCATGGTGTGTTATATAAGCACAATGCATTAGTAGTCAGTATTTTCAAGTCCTTTTTTATGATAACGTAGAGCAAGTACGACAGATATGCTACTTGCTGTGCAAATTGTACTGCTTACGTCACATATTAAGCAAATGCGCTGTTCAAATAGCAAAACCTTAAAAGGGATCGACTTTCTGTTGACACGTTTTACAGTTAAACTCCGTTAAAAAAGAAAAAAAAAAAATATAGAGCCTTTTTTTTTTTTTTTCTTTTTATATATCAATTAAAATGTTGTATAAAAAGAAAAAGAATAATATAAACAAATTACGTCAGCATGTCAAACCACATATTGGAATCATTGAGACAACCATGATGTATCATTCAACTAAAGATCTTAAAGATCGTCTAGTTTCGGTAATATATAAAGTTAAAAATAGCCCTAATCTTGAACTCACGATCATAAAGGTATTTACTGTCTTTGTGGAGGAACCAACAAGACACTTGGTACTTATTAGATATTATGAAGACTTTCAAGAATTCTATAATAGAGCAAGTATATGTGCCACTCATGTCTATCCATCGTCATGTATTAACACTATATGTATAATAGATAAGGGACTATTCGCGTAAATGTAAAATACAATTACCAAAGCTTCACAAGGAAAACCGATTCTTGTACCAAAGGCATCGTAGCGACAGTAGCACTAGTAATAGCAGCAGTAGTAGTATTGGCAGTAGCACAAGTAGTAATAACCATAATAGCAACCATGGCCTAAGGAAAATACTTCAAACTTTGTCAAGTCATAGAAAGAGTAATGCAGATAATCTAGAATTATTTCTTTATCGCTGCTTGAACGATTCCAGTATTAGATCATGTTCTCTCTTGAAAGAGTTTCTTCAACCTCAGCGTGAGGAAGATCATATCATACCGAAACAAGAAGTGCAATCCTATGTGCAACTGCAATGTATAAATCAACGCGAATTGCGTAATAATGATGTCGAGCATGAAGAAGGGGAAGAGGAAGAGGAGGCGATGGTAGAGGAAGAGGGTGCTGCAGTATCAACTCCTCATCTAGAAGCTACTAGACAGATTGACGCTGACGTCGTGTCTTCCATTCACCCTCATTCTACAATTTCTCCTTCTGATTTACGACCAATGACAGAATCAAGTGTCGCTTCTTCCTCTTCTATCTCCTCTCGTGCCCCTGTCACAATTCAAGATTTTCAGCTTATTAAAGTGATTGGAAGAGGATGCATGGGCAAAGTACCGTATATTCTCAATTATATTTGTTTGTCCTTACTTATTATTTTATCATTAGGTACTCTTGGTCAGACACCGTAGGACATCCCGTTTACTAGCACTCAAGGCCATCAGTAAAAAGGCAGTCATAGAGCAGAGTCAGATTGTCCACATTAAAGCAGAGCAGCAAATCCTATCCGATATTTCTACGATACAACACCCTTTTCTCATCAAGTTACACTATTCTTTTCAGGATGCCAATCAGCTTTTTCTTGTCTTGGACTATCACGTCGGAGGCGATCTAGCAACACAACTTCGTATCAACCATACCCTGCCTCCTGAAAGATGTCGATTCTATGCAGCTGAGATCATTCTGGGTATTCAGGAGCTACATCGATTAGGCATTCTTTATAGGTAAGATGTGGTATACATAGCAAGGGGGAAACAAAAAAAACTGATCATGCTGCAGAGACCTCAAACCCGAAAATATTCTGCTTACTGCAGATGGTCATTTGGTTCTCACAGATTTTGGTCTTTCCAAGCAATTCTATGATGGACTCAGCCTAGAAGAGCAAAGGACTGAGACATTTTGCGGTACAGCAGAATACTTGGCACCCGAGATTTTGAATCAGCAGCCCTATTCATACGAAGTTGACTACTGGAGCTTAGGCATGATATTATACGAAATGCTGAACGGTGTTACGCCTTTCTGGGACGAAAACAGAGATGAGATGTACCGCAAAATTCGACAAGACCCTCTTCAGTTTCCAGCTCATTTTGATATAGAAACGGCCACCTTTATCGCTCGATTGCTCAAACGTGATCCGTCTCGCCGCTTGGGCTCTGGCCCTGATGGTGCTCTGCGTGTTCGTTTAGATCCATACTTTTCCTGCATTGACTGGGACCTGATATATGCTAAGCGTATCAAACCACCTTATGTGCCTAACCTTTACTCCGAAACTGACTTTAGTCACTTTGACAGTGAATTCCTGCAGCTCACACCTCGGCTTTCTCCTGTCTCAAGTGATTATATGCTAAGTCAGAGTTTAGACCGAGCTTTCGAGGGTTACTCATACACTAATCGCGAAGAAAGGTTATTGGACTCGCCTGTATCAGAGCTTTACAGTCTCAATGAGCCACCACCTCCTGTCACCCTGAGAGATAGATCGCTTTTGGAAACAGGAGCAACACCTAGTTATTTTGTATACAATGGTAGCGATGAAGTTATGACCTATGATGAATATGCAGAAAGCAGTAGCGACGATATTATCCATTCTTCAGATCTTATTCGTCAATTTCCAACACGTAGTGAATACACCGAAGATGACTTACCTCCTAGACCTGTTACTAGATTAATGATGTCTCCCACAAACGACTATTGCCGTCCTGAGTCAGAAACCTCCTCTATTCTTGATTAATTTATTATGATTCTTTTTATACATTTTATGAAGGCCGGGCCTCACGATTCCACCACACACACACACATCTATGCTAGAATAATCAAACCTTTGATAGACATGAAAAATATTATATACACAGTACTAATAATGTCAAGATTCCCTTTCCTTAATGTATACCATCAAAAATACCAAATAAAATTTCCCTATACTCTTATCTTATTCATCCCTTTCTTTCAAACAAGAAGACCTTCGTATCTGTCTTTTACCTTTTCTAACCAAAGTACCAAAAAAAAAAAAGAATCTTGACAATGTGTTGTATTTGACGTTGCTGTAGGTCGTAAAGCCAATCTTTCTGCACATTTTTCACACTTCATTTAGATAATCTCAATGGACTAATCATTATTCATCAATGGGGAGAAATAACCTTGATTAAGGCATAACACAATATCGAATAATACAACAAGTTGAACCTGACTGAAGTGTGTCTAATTAGATGCTTGCTTGTGTGCACAGTGATGTCATTGTTGCTATATATAATCTCGCTTCTGTTCAGGTTTTGTATGTGATAGATGTGTTTAATGAAGTTTGCTGTACAATGACCACACAATCTTAACAATCAAATTTAAAGCCTTATGACTGATTCGCCGACCTTATACAAAGGTAACGTTCTTTTTTTCATTTCAATTGGTATCAGCATGAATTTAAAATGGTCCATCCACCAAGTCAAAAAGGTATTTTGATGAACTTTCGGCGGGGTTACGATTTTACCACACGCCTCTATATCGGAGATTGGAAATAGAATACTTGTTTAAGCTTTCTGATCAGATCTACTGTACAAAAATCTCTAACACGTTTGTTGTAATTAATTATTTATAATATAGAGTATTGTATAGTTACTAAAAATATTCGCATATTTAAAAAGCCTTTACTTTTAAACAACATTTTACTGAGATTAACTTTTCTTTAGTATGATCAGTTTCGGTTCCTGAATGCTATCATTTATAAGAATGCTGATTGTCTTTGTGGATTCTTTCGTCTTCTTTATTTTGTTTTTATTAAAGGGATAAGTAAATTCTCGTAAATTAACATCACTATGTGCAATGTGCAGTCTTCATCTTCCAGTCTTACCGATAAAAGCGCAATAAATGCTACAAAAGACGCTGAAATTTCTGAGCGTGTTCTGTTGGATTTAGAGAGTGGGCCGTAAGGAAAGATTACATTGATGTACAAAAAGAAGTAAGGGACATTTATAGTACATTGTATATATATATATATATATATATATATATGTAAAGCATGAACATGATTACACTTCTTATTTTAGCAAATTGCTATGAAGACAGTTGTGTTGTAACTAAAGCGAGGCTATTGCATTTTCCTCATGGTATTGTCGTACATCAGGCAAATTAAAGAAGGTCCAAAAGATGATTATTCCATATATGAGCTTGAAATGGAAATTATTCCGCAATACATTAAGGCAACAAGACATAAAAGCAAAGCAAGATACTACGAGATGCTTTATTAGAGAAAATTAGAGAAAGAGCAAATTATGTGAAATAAAGGGCTCTATTATGCTTTTTGAGATACACGACTTTTGGGAAGATCTTCTATCGAGTTAATACTGCTCATTTGTTAATTCATGATATATATATGCTGATTAAACTGAAGATGCTGAGAATAATGCAATTGCACGTAAAACTGTATCATATAAGCATATTATCTGTCGTATTTACCCTATAAATATTTAATCTTGTCGCATGAAATTACTATAAATCTATACTCTAAGAATGAATGGTACAAAGATACTGACAACAATACATGTTATTAACATATAACACGACATGCCCCGTTATCATTAATCATAATTAAATCGGTTCCTTAATAATTCTATCTTCATATAAAATTGTTGTGCCATCACAACATTATCAATAAATATTTGTAGTAATCGTTACTCGGTTAGGAGTTCTTCCATATATGACCTATCATATGCGAGCTTACTCTTAGGGCGCCGTTATAATGCTTAATTAAACGTCTGTGCTCTAACTTTCAGGCCAACAGTTCCTTATTCGACAAGACATTGTCAGATCATGTATCACCTCATCCACAAGGCACCTCGAACATACATCGAACCAATAGTTAATACTAGTTAGGTTCTTCCCAGCTATTCCCATTGTAGCTGGACGCTTATAGGTACGTTCACGATATCCAATTATCATTATTGATTGTAGAGGTTAAAAAGTATAAATACCATTGCTTTATTCATCGTAAATAAAGATATCATATATTTCAGTCTCACTGACTTGTTGTCCTTTTTTCTATTCTTCTTATTACTACTAGTTTTTGTCTCTTATCTTTGTACTTGGCAAAACAAATATAAAAGAATAAAGACCAGAAGTAACCAGACGAAACCATTACTTGTTGGCTGTATACCAATTGTGATATGTCTCGAATATATGAAGAAGTAATAAGGGAAATGTGCGTCGATGAGTCTCTATATAACCTCTTTATTGTATGTTAAGACGAGAGAGAGCTCATTATTACAAACAGCGTCATTTTATATGAAGATAGAATTATTAAGGAACCGATTTAATTATGATTAATGATAACGGGGCATGTCGTGTTATATGTTAATATCATGTATTGTTGTCAGTATCTTTGTACCATTCATTCTTAGAGTATAGATTTATAGTAATTTCATGCGACAAGATTAAATATTTATAGGGTAAATACGACAACGATAGCATACGTGGTACACGCCGTAACACAAAATAACAGCATCCTTTTATTTATCGCTATTTTCCAAAGACAGATTGTAATATATGACAGCAAAGGAGTCCTTCTATATGTGTAAAAACCATTTAAAATTCAAGGCTATTTAAGCTTTTTTTCAAGATTATTTTTAGTGGTTAATCTTAATGCCCTCATTCAGTCTATATTTTGAAGTATAAGGATGTTTTATTGCACAAGCTCACCGGCTTAGTCAGTATAAGCGGGATGTCTTCTGCGATACGAAACATGTTTTTTGTCACTGCTATTGTCAGGTATATTTTTAAAAGCTATATGTATATAGGAGGTATATTTGCTTTAGCCAAAAGATATATTTTATGAGCCTCAAAAATGAAGCTAAGGTATATTTGCAGAAGCATTAAGAGGATCCAAAAAGAAACCATATGAAAGGGCTCTGGTGCATCTTTTAGTAGTATCCCTAAGCAGCTTGTATATATGTATTCACCAAGAGATATCTTCAAAAGGGTATTATATACATACAGTTTTTGCTAACAAAATACCGCTGTATAGCTTATAGCGTCAATGTTATTGTTATTTATCCGTGCTCGTACAATATTATCTATAAACAAGTGAATGAAACATTATATATTAAGATAAGAACGGACATCCTCTAAAGGATGCTGGTATAATTAGAATATTGTAAACTATATTATATTATACTAGCATCCTTTAGAGCTGTCGTAGAAAAACGTCTGCTTATAGATCATGTTGAAATGAACGACTATAATCAGCATGAAGAAAGCGTACTCATTCAATATAAAATTATATACATATTTTCAATCATAAGTCAAATATATATAAATTCTTCTCTTAAATATAAGTAATTACTTCTACACCTAGAAAAGGTGATATGTTGAATAAACATTTTGTCTCGTTCTACAATTACGTTGGTTTTATTGTCATTTTAGTTGACATCTTGATTACACTTGCTTTGAACAGATGATTCAAAAGCATAATCAATTAAAAGAATAAAAGGGAGACGATATAAATTAAAATTCTTTTTTATTAGAGAACTTAATTTATACCGAAAGAGGATCCGGTTTATGGAAGTTTTGAGAGTATTCCTATTTATACTATTTCAAAATAGATGAGCGCTGATATAATAATTAGATGACTCGCCTAAAGAATAACCAATGATGAAGATATAAGCCTGTCGAGGTTCTAATTCATGCAGGCCATGTAAGACAAGGAAAGTTCATTGTTCTGTCATTATTACCGTCGTAACTATATTTGTATCGGTTCACAGGATTTATGAGAATTTAGTTTACTTATTGACTAATCTAACTTCTTGGTAAAAGGTGATAATTTTGGATAAGAGCATAATCATCTTTATACACTGTTATAGTTTAGTTTGTTCAATCATTATTATAGTCAATGCTTATAGAAGCGTGTTTCTTCACAACAACACTAATCAACTCAGCTGTTATATATACTTTTGAACTGATCGTTCTGTAGTATCCATGCTACTATTCAGTGCTTAAATACAATATCTAGAGTTGAGCCTAATGTTACTATAAGATCTGTTACATCTTAATCAAATATAGTCAATTTAGTTTAAATACCTCAGCTTCTTAATATATAATTGTTTGGGATAAGGAAAATGCGTAGAGTAGAATAGGAAAAAGACAGAAGTATTGTTAGAACTGTATATCCTTTTATAGGAAAAGATATAACAAAAACATGATGATCTTTATTGATATGAAAAATTGTCCTCTATTTATACTTTTTCTTCAACGGGTAAACCTGGTTATCCTGGAACAATTAATAATCCTTTTTTCATAGATAGTGCTAACGATCAATTCGCCTAAAGTATCTTCCTGCTTGTTCCTGACCTCATTGGATCCTTAAATGCATCTGCCTTACTGGATCAGATATAAAAGTTTTCCAAACGGAGA